CTGTCACTTCATAACCATGAGGTTATGGCATTAACCTCATCCAGTGGAAGTGGAACTCCTGTTTGCTTCGCTTTGCTTCACACTGGAGAAAGGCATCATTCATCTCACTGTAGAAGATATCACATAACACATCAGAAACACCTAACCTAACCTCCAGACCTGAACTTAAACCCAGCACCAATTTCTCACACCATTTATTAACTTACTGTGTGGATGAGTTTTTGGTTGCTGTCACTAGCTTCAAAACTGCCCCTGGCAGGTCCCATTTATTTCCAGACTCAACTCAAAAGCTCCTGTGGCATAGCCTGGCCCAACCTTGGATCCCACACAGTCCTCCATTGCCAACCCAGCCTCCAAGGGTGCCCTTGGGGCATCTCTCAGAGCGGGAAACACTTATTCCCAGGGTGGTGCTGTGAAACCACTACTCTGTTATTCCACTTGGAGTATTAGAGATAGAGGAAAATGAACCCTTCAAAATGTTATGTTCATGTTTTAGATCCACAGGGGCTGAAGAGGACTGGGAGCCAAGTGCTGCTCAGTTTGGTTATAGCCAGCCTGTTCCACTGCTCCTCTGCTACCCAACCTGCAGCCATGTAGTAAGGGAGACTACCTGCTCCTGTAGAGCTGCCAAAAAGCCTTCATTGCTGCTAAAAGCACTTCTTTCCACCTGGAGCAGGCCAGGCAGGTGTGAGTGAAGTGATCTGGGGGCTCCAGCAGAATGGATCTCCATTGTGGGATTCTACACTGTATGACTTCCCCAGAAGGTCCAGGCTGGCACCAAGGTCATCTGCTCAAACCATGACACCTCACTGAGCAGATAGATTTCCTCTTTGGAAGCAACCCTCTAAAGTGGTCCCCCTTTGAAGAGACAGATTTTGCCTCACACTCCAGTGGGAGGCAGAGGCACTGTTGGTTTTTACATGGCATGGGGATAGCAGTAAAAAAATTCACTTGAATTTGCTCATCTGGGTGTTTTGTGGCTCCACAGCCATCTGCCTTCCCACAGAATAAGCTCTGTATGAAACGATGATGCCAATTTTTCTGATCCTGAGATTCAGCAGAACCACCTTCCTGACTGAGCAAATGTGCTGGCATCTTGCAGTGCAGGCTCACTCCTGGAGGAGAGATGTAAGCAGGAAGGAAGCTGGTTTGGATCCAATTTAATTTCCCTAGGGTTATTCTATATGTTAAGGAGAGCTAGCACACAAAAGTCAGATGCAGATAGAAGATTAAATTCTGCTCTCATTTGTGAAGGGGTAAATGTGCAGTAGCCTTGCTGATAATGGGGTTGTGCTAGAGTGGAAGGAAGACTGCAGGAGACTGACCTGACACAAAAAAGCTAACAGAAGAGTTCTGAAGAGGAAAACTTGCTTCCTGCTGGTTCTCTCGTCTTTTTCTCTTCCAGCCTTTCCCTGGGCCAAATTCTGCTCCAGATCACTGTGTAAAGTGAATGCAACTGAAGCAAACTGGCCAGAGCCCAAAGCAGAACAACTCTCCCTTTCCTCTCAGCAGCCACACCAAACTAGGGCTCAATTTTCTTAGAACACTGATAAATCAGAGGTAACTCCAGTCTCCTGTGAGAAAAAAATTGTTTGTCAGGAAAAGTTTCCAAAGAAATCTTGCTTTGCCCATACTGCCTATGCAAGCTGTGCCTTTCCCTCTGGTTTCTCATTTCAGTCCTGTGACTTCTGGCTGCTTCCAGGGCTAACAAATTCCTGACTTTCCTTCCTATTGCCACCACTGTGGAGGCTGGACCCTGAGTCTGTTTTCCACAGTCATGGAGCAGCCTGTCTCCCAGAGGAGTCTCCCAGCCCATAGTCCCCTAGCAGCTCTTAATTTGCTTGAGGACCCAGGTTTGTGTCCAGGGTTGGCATTCACTCCTGTACCTAAGAGCAGAATCTGGACCATGAAGACCTTGAAGATGTAATTCTGGAGAACAGCTGTCTCTGTTTCTTTTTCCCTCATTTTTCTTTTCCACTTCTGCACATTTTTCACACCAGACATTGCAAAGCCGCCTGTGATGGCATCTGTCAGTGCTGAGCAGCAGGGGGATGCTTCAGCAGTCTGTCCCCTTGCCCAGCACCATGGTCACACAGGGGGACACTGAGGGGCTGTGCAGTAACAGCACTGGCACACTGCAGGCACAGATATGATCTAATCCATCGTGGAAAGCAGCCACCACTTATGGCTTCTTTCCAGTGCTTTCCACCAGCTTGGCTCCCTGTGTGGGGAGGTGCTCACACTAAGGAAGCTCTGTGCTGTCTTCCTTCTCAAAGAGTGGTGGTTTTCTCTGCTTAGTGAGGGAACAAAGAGGTTGGGCTCCCTGTGAAGGCTCAAAGTGCTCCTGTAGAAGCTCAGAGGAGCTCCACAGAGACACAGTGCTCTGTGCTCCAGAATGCCACCCACACACTCCTGTGCTGTGTTTTCTCCAGACATCCTCGGTTTCTTTCCTCACTTCCCTCACAGTCAGTTCTAAGTTATCTCAATGTGAAGAAGCACTTCTCAAAATACAGATGCTACCTCTGCCCCTTCCTGACTTCGAAGTGTTACCTTGGGGACCAGTCAATTGCATGCCTTTTAAAACACGTTTTCAGCATCTTAAGAACAAAATTATTGCCAGAATGTTTATCAGTACCTCCCTCAGTACCTTGTGATGCAGAGCCAGATTAAGCCTCAAAGAAGGCTGTGATGCCTAAACCAGGACACAGGCAGGTATGAAGGCTCTGAAAAAAAAGTCCTTTAAAGGAGACAGAAACTCCCTTTCTCCACAGCAGCCCAACTCTAACACTTCAGTAGGTCCAAGACCCCTCTGTTTCTGAGGTGGAATTTCTGTAATTGGCCTAATTAATCTGCAGCCCCCCTGAACTATCCTGATTTGGACAGCTCAGTTTCTGGCTGCCTGGGCTCACTTGGCAACCTCAGTTTTCAGACTCACCCTGACGTGGCACTGGCTTCTCCTTGGACACTCAGTTCTCAATTGCAGATCCCAGTCTGGTGCAGAGAAACTTTGAACTTAGGCTGCTAAACTGAACAGGCATGAGAATTTTATTTCTGACCTTGACTATGATACATGTTCATAACCTTCCCCAAGGCTTCTACACTTACTTTTTAGCCACAGCTAGTTTCACTGACTCTTACTTCTTTCTTACTCCACTGCCTCCTATCTTTCTCACCATTCACCAGTGGATTTTTTTCCTATTCATTATATGTAAAACACATTTCTTATACCCCATGGTTGCTTTGAACAATGTTGATCCAGTTTTAGTTTTCTTAAGTCCTCACTGCTTGTCTGAAAACACTGTTTTTGATGCAAAGATTCCTCCACAGCTTTCCTTTCCTAGGAGTTGCAGAGAAGGAAGATTTGAAACAAACACTCCAATTTTTAAATCTTCCTTATGATAAGACCCAGAACACCTTTTTCCCTTTCCCACTGAAATTATGCTGTCTTCCACAATATTTTTACCAGGTCTCGTTTTCAATTATGTCTTCCATAAATACATACCCCAAGTCTGAATAGCAACATTTTTGCAAAGTGGGGATTGAATGTTATTTTTAGACAGTAATGCCTAAAACCTTCAGGGGTTCCCCACCTTTCATTTAAATCTTAATAAATCCACAGGAGAGTGTCAAGAAGGGCACAGAAGAAATGTGTTTTCAGGTCCAGAGCCTCTGGGAACACCACATCAAATCCAGTGTACAGTCCTCACTAGTGATCAGAGCTAATTTACTTATTGACAGCTCTGAGCCCTTCAAGAAATCACTTGGTGGCCTCTGTTTCATTCCCTCTGAATACAGATCCACTTCAGTGGAAACTGTTAATGATAACTTCAGCAGAGAGGTCCTCATTCAGCCAAACCCTTAAGCCCAAATGTAGTTTTTAGCCTGAAGATACTGCCATTGAAATCTGTGGGAAAATTACATTTCTGCCTGTTGTATTAGGCTGTGACTGACCGAGCTCTTGCGCTTCATCAGTCCTTGCAGGAATGCGCTCTAAATCCCAGGATCCTGAAACAGACCCCAGTGTCTGCATTTATTCTGGCATATTCTCCAAACAGCAGGAAGAGAGGAACAGCACATGAACAGAGTAAGGGAGGCCCATTGCTTCATTCTCACTCGGGCCCTCATTCCATTGTGTGGCTGTGCCTTCCCTGCTAAGAGTGAAACAGGAGAACTTAAATTATTGCTTGATTGTAGTGCCCTTTTTCCCTACTGTCTTCTTTCCCATGTGCAACAAGAATGTATATTGTGAAAGAGGCAAGTGCATAACATCAAACTCTGGGAAGGCTAATTAGCTGCAGTTTTACATTAATTTTTAAACCAAATCTTGGTTGTCTCAGGTGACATTCTGAGCCTGTGAGGTTGAACCTGTGAATATGATAGGCAGGATTTGATCCCATCACACAAAGAAAGCCATGAACTGCTGCAACTGCTTTTAAAGCAGTCACAACCACAGCTCTTCTGCTTCTGGTCCATTCAAAGTCCATTCTTCATTTGCTCTCCTTCAAGCACAGTACTTTGTTGTTTCTTTCCTTCTGGGAACTAAAGAGTGAAAGAAAATCTTGCTATTTTGGATGGCATTAATTAAAAAAGAAAGGGAAATAAAGACATTATAATTGCATGGGATTTCTGAATAAGGTTTCAAAGTGGGGGTAAAAAAATAGCTGTGTGCCTGGTACACAGAGAGCCCTTTCTCTTCCCCTTTGTGGCAGAGGAATCAATGGAATTCATATAAAAGAAGGAGGGGGGTGGGAAGAGAGATAGGAGATGCCTTGCTCGGTACCAGCAGGTCACAAGTCTCATGAGGCTCGAGCAGGGCTCACAAGGAAGTTGCTGACTCTATCTCCATGTGTACCTTTTTGTTCCTTGCCTTGGATTTGCTGGTCAGTGGCATGCTGCTTTGCCTGGCTCTCCATAGAGCTTGTAGCCTACAGGAATTTGGACAGAGTGGTACAGACATCGCCGACAGAGACTCTGATCACTGACTATCCCTTTAAATGCAGTCTCATGACTTAGTCTTTGCTCCACTACCTATTAAAGAAGGAGACAAGACGTTCATAGGCAGCTTTCATTCAGGCATCCAGAAGGACACAGAAAGGCAAGACAATTTAACAGAGCTAACTGTGAGTAAATATGAAGCATTAGAGGTGCTCTCTAGAGCAAAGGGCATTGAGAAAGATTTGTAGGAAATCCTGAGATGAAAGAAGGTGCAGTAACTTTTAAAATATACTTGTATACAATCTTCAAAACGTCAGTAAGGAAAGCTATTCTCTCATTTTAGCATTATTCCTTTAAATGTGAATCAAAGTGTCTCTGAATATAGCATTGACCAATGCTTGATTTCCCACAAAAATCCGATGTGGTGATTTTGTGCTGCAAGCATTGGAGCCTTTTGCAAATATAACCTTTTCTTTCACTGGCAAAAATTTAATAGAAGGAATATCTGGGGGGGAAATATGAAGCCAGCCTTTTCAAAACTTGGATCCAAAGCCCAGTCTGGAGACTCCAATTAGATTTCTGCACCTCATGAGGGGTGACCCCCTTTCTGCTGGGGACAGAATGGAACTGTGGGTGCTCAGCAGCATGGAGACTGCACTGGGATGTCCCATCATGTGTGCAGGTAGTTAATTTTTAACCAAGAGACTGTGTGGCTCCACACTCTGTAGTGGCCATCCATCTTACATGCTACAGCATTCTGGAATATTCAGTTCTTATTAGTCAAAAGAGTCGTCAGCATGTCCATACATAGATGATGATGATGATGATGATGATGATTATTATTAATAGTAGTAATAGTAATAATAATTTAATTTTTTTTAAATGACAGTAAGCTACTGAATAGACCTAGACAAGTATTTTGACGGTGGTCATTACTATTGCAAGTGATATATCAGCACTGATGGAAAGTTCCTCTGCCAGCTCAGCCTATTGCTGATATCCGTGTCATTAATTGCAGGTATTAGCTGGAGGAGACTGTTCCCGGCTCGTCTTCATGTTGCCCATTTTATTCTCTGCATTTATCCTGTCTGCTTGCTGCTTAACCAAAGGGAACTGCATCTCCTATGATGAACTGAAAGAGCTGAAGACTGAATTTGCCATCACTCTTTACCGGCACATGTCTGAAGCAGAGAACAGGACCAATCTGGTAGTCTCTCCAGCAAGTGTGGCTGTTTCTTTAGAGCTGCTGCAATTTGGAGCTCAAGGAAATACCTTTACTGAGCTACAAGATGCCCTAGGATACAGTATTCATGGTAATGTACTTTAAAAAGATACTTACTGTCTTATATTTTGTAATAAATTCACAGCTTTACTGGTGACAGGAATTGTACACATCGTACTAAACTTCTGATTTCTCACTGCAAGATGTAGTTTTCTCCATCTTTGACAGCCAGGTATCAGGTGGACAAAGGAAATTCTAAGGGAGTAGTTGACACACAGGTCAATTCCTCTTTCTTCTGAATCAGTACTTACTCTCTTATGACACAAAATACAGCTACATCTAGAAAAGCTACTTCCATGAACAGCAGAATTGCTCCAGGTTTGTCAGAGGTCCATCGTGTCCACTGGGTCCTGGTCTCCTTTGTGTGCTCTGCAAAGAACTGCCAGGCAGAGAACACTGGTTTTCTCTCCTATCCCACTAACAAATTTTATGAAACCTGCAGAAGCTGAATTATCTTTAAGACTTTTCTAATGCTATTACAACTGGCCAAAAAGATGAAAATTTATCAGAAGGAGACTGGCAGACAGAGATATACATTGACAGATGGATGGTGCAATTGCATCTGAAAGCAGGCTAAAATATAAAACTCAATGGGAATTTGGAAGGGATATGGGAAAGACAGATGTCTTTAAATCCAACATTAAGTCAGCTGAATTTAAGGGTGCTGTTTTCATTTTAGCTCTGGATTATCCTACCATCTCAAATCATATGTCAAAAACTATTTTACATTATGGGCAGAATGTTTATGAAAAGCAGATGACTGCCTCATCTTCATAATTTGCAGCTTACATACAATACTTATGTATAGAGATAACACTGCTATTTCTCAGCATAAAATTTACATTCAGGGTATGAAGACTAAAACCCACAGTAATTTCACTGTCCCGTGGTGTAACCAGCCTCAGTCGGCACCACCATCCTGTACAGCATTGATATTCAACCCCACCACAGCAGTAAGAGCTAACTCTGGCTGATCTATACAGATACATCTACATGTACTGACACAGGGACAGTGCATCTAAATTATGAGCAGCTGATATAACAAAGTCTTGCCTACAGGACTCCTATTTCTGTAAATTCAATTCCTGAACAACATTATTTCATACAAGGATTATACTTTGCTTGACACTTCTGGTCATTATGAGCTCAGTTATTATGAAAGGACCTTGCAGAATAACATTTCAAAGTGAAATTCAAGCACAGATCTCTACAGAAAATATAACAGGGAAGAGCAGGGGGTGTTAATGACCTGCTAGCTCTTTTATGCTCTCTTCTCATGTGGCACATCAGAGCAAGCAGACATTTTATCTCCATTTTAGCTGTGGCATAAACCACATTAAGCTTTGGCTTTCAGTAATATTAATGCATGAATGTGAAAATAAAGTAGGATGGGATCTATTGTTATTGGTATACAGCGTATTTCCAGTAAAAGGGAAGGAAACCACTTCCCCAAATAGTCTAAATCAAATAAAGAATTAAATACTTAGATAAAATTCCTTATAACATAAATAAACCCAAATTGTATATGTATTGTTGTATCATAAAATTTCTTTCTTCCAGTGGATGTTTGCATTAATGTTTCTGTTGGTCTGCCCTAAACAATAATGAAGGATATGGTTAAAACCTTAGCAGGCTGAAAACAATTGAAACATTGGTGGTTTATTCACTGCTCACAGAGAACCTGCTCTTACATGCACTTGTAAACTTCTTTCAACATTTGGAAAATTTGTTCACCTTTATTCTAGGACTAACAAAAACAATGTATAATGGGGTGTGTCTCTAGACAAAACAGACAAAATGACATGCTTTAATATTACTTCACCTTGTGGTTTGATTAAAGCCATTTTGAGCTGTAGTCCAAGTAAGAATTCAGGACTTTGGTTATCTAAGCACTTTGGTGAAGTCACAAGCTTGGGATACCACTCCTCACATTTATCTCTGCTTCTAATTTAGCATCTTTGACTTCTCACATCTTCCAGAGAGCTCACCAAGTGCTCCCACAGTAATGCAAAGTACACAAGAATAATACTTTATACCTCAGACCACGGCATTTAAAAAAAAATAAAAAATAAAAGCTTACTGCTGTGGACCATATAAATAAAGGAGTCACTTGTAACACATGAAGCAACCTATCAGCTCAGTTTAGGATTGCCAGGGCTCATCAGCAATAATGGGCCAGTTTGGGACACCATCCTTCAAGAAATCAAGCAACACCTGAGGGGCAAGGGTGGCAGAGGGGCCATCAGGGAAATGCCTTTCCTGGGATAGTTGGATAACATCAGGAGAAGGAGACAGCAGTGTTGTGGCATTGGCAGCTCAGCCAGCCATGGCCAGAGGCACTAGACCTCACTGGTGGGAAGTCAGAGCGTGCCCAAGAAAGAATAATTACCTTATGAACTGTTAAGAGCTGTGCCTGAATAGAGCTGCAAGCCTGCCATGAGATCAGCCTCTTGACATATCTGCACCAGAGTGATTTCTACAGACACATGAAGGGAGCTTTTCAATTGCCCTTGACAGTAAAACTCCATAAAGTCAAGGGTGCTCCAGTTGTTATAGGGCTTGAGCACACCAGTGTCAGCACTGGAGCTAAGAGCTATGGATCCCTGGGGCAATCTGTGCTATCTTTCATCTCAGCCCAACAACTGCAGCTTGTCTCTTGCCTGGCAGATCAAAGCGTGCAGGATTTCATGCACACGGTGGACCAAGCGGTGACTGACTCCAGCCAAGGCACAGTGGTCCAGCTGGGATGTTCCCTCTTTGTGGACGCGGGCGTGCAGCTCTTGCCTGACTTTGCAGAGCGTGCAGCGCACTGGGCCAACAGCAGCTTGCTGCAAACCAACCTCACTGACCCCAACACCACCCACATACAGGGATGGATCACCACTGACCTTGCAGGTACCGTAGGGGCCCACTAGAATGGTTGCACATGAATGAAATGTAAAATAAGATTAATGGGAGAAATTGCATTTAACCAAGCATAAAGTATTTTGCCACAGTCCATGTTGCCCGAACCAAGGCTGAAGGCCAGGAAGCCTAATTCTTGTGTTAGCATTCATTTGTAATGTGAAGAAAGAGCTGGAATAGGTCTGAATCTGTAAGCAGTGTCAAGCTGGTCACCACTTGGCCTTGTTCCCTTAATTTTTAAGAAGGCAATCCTTTGCAGTGTTTTCAGTTTTGATTAGGAACAGCCAAATTCCCCTTGGACTGTATTCATGGCCCTAAATGCTTTCAGGGTGCTGTGGGGACACACAGAGTCATAAGCTCAGCAATCAGACTCTGAGTTTAAAAAGTCAAAATGGGGTATAAAAACACTGACCAGCTCAACCTCAGCTCTGGGGAGAGCATGGAGCAGCAGGCAACCCCAGTGAGGTCCATGTGTAGGTGGGGAGGGGAAGGTAGAGGGTGAGCAGTGGCTTGTGCTTTGTACCTCTTGCCCTTAGGGATGGAGAGTGGTCTCAGCTTGCTCTATTTAGTCACATGGACCTGGCCTTTAGGCATGTAGGACTGCATGTGTTCCCCTCCCTTGTCTCTTTTTTCCACACAGATGGGGATGTGCGTGGGATGACCTTGGAGAGCGCTGGGTCATCGTTCAGCCAGGTCACCCTGGTGAGCACCCTGTACTTCAGAAGCATGTGGCAAAAAAAGTTTTCCTTTATGGATTCCCAGATGTTGCCTTTCACCACACCAGAGGGCTCAACCCTGAAAGTGCCCACCATGCACCACACAGCTGAAGTTAACTATGGTAACTGTCCTTGATCCATATTTGATCTACTGTGCAATATGGAACAGATTTATTTAATTTCCACTGATACCACACTAAGATGTGTTGTTTTCCTAGCTTGAAGTTTCAGCAGAAGTCCCATCAAATGAAGAGACCACCCAGGTGACCAAATTGACTCCTCATAATTCCAGGCAATCATGAAACAGATCCTGGGTTCAAAATGGTTCCTAAAATATCTACTGTCCCTTTCCCATCTCCCACAGGCCAACACCTCCCAGTACTCCATAACAAACTTGTCAGCTGTAGGAAAGAATCAAAAGGCACCCATATAGCATGCCAGGAGAAAGAAAGATGAGAGACTGAGGGTACTGCAAAGTCCTTTACAATAGCAAGAAGCTGGTTAAATAAAGCTGGCTAGGAAGGGGCTACAGTAGGAAGCAAATCTGACCCCATGACAGAGGGGCAATTAAGACTATATCAAGCCCCTACAAAATTGATTTTTTTGGGTAAGAAATTCCCTGGCCCCTTAGTCAAACCACTGTCCCTTGAATGTGTGAGCACCAGAAGGAGCAGAGCATAACCAGGAGCACCAGCACTGCAGACCTGGAGACCTGGTCACAATCTGCCTCCAAGGCTTTAGAGAAAAACTGCAGATCTTCAGGCACAAATTCTAGAAAAAAGAAGGAAATTCTTATGTCATTTATACCAAATCAGTGGATGATCTCAGCATGGGCTTAAAACAGTATAAATATAGGTCAATCTTTTATTTGTATAATATTTGAATAAGTGTAGGCTACTTTCAAAGGCTTGATATATGTGGGTTGTGACAGAAGGACTCATGCTGCAGGCTTAATTTTCTGTCACCAGGAATTATGCCAGTTAGCTATACAATCTCTTTCAAAATATAAAAAGCTCTTTTCCCTCCTAGTCTAAATTTCAGAACTGCACTTTGGTAAAAACCTTTCAAATTCCATATCTAAATCTTTTCAAGACAGATTTATATCTCTTAACATCCTGCTTTATCCTTTAAGTTAAATATTTTCTCTTCAGCTTCAATATTTACTCTCAAATCTAATTGCAAGTCACCAAGTTTTCTCTCAATTTCCTGATAGCTAAGATGATGCCAGGCTCTACTAAACTATTCAAAAACCAAATGCTCCTAATTCTCTACTAGTTCTTTCTTTGCACTTTTCCAATTTAAATTAATATTTTGTGAAAATAAATGACCAGAAACGTACACAAAATTATGAATGAGAGCATACACATGATTGATAAAATACTTTCACAATTTCTATGTCATTTTAAAAATACCTTGCACAGTGTGTTGCAGAACCGACTTTTCCTTTTGGCACTTTTTTCCTAGGTAAATCAAGGGGGAGGAAATCTCCAGAAGGATATAATTTCTTTGTGTGTTTTTTAACCACCATTTTGTTTCCACCACTCCAGTCTTCACAGCAATCTCACTGATTGTCCTTGATAAAAGTCTTGAGCACTGACAATACTTTGGAAAGCTGCTAGTGACCCTTGTCAACATCTTGTGCCTTTGTTCATTGCAGCTTCCCCTTCAAGTGGCTGCTTGCTTCCTTTCCTTTCTGGTTCTAAGTGCCACCACTTCTACCTGTAAATAGTGGCACAGTGAAACCATGTTTAATGTTTTACCTGAAACTAGATGGCTGGATCTATGCCTTTTTATAAAATCAGTTAACAAGTTAAAAAAGTTAATATTTTTATTGGCCAGTCTACATGATATTGCAATTTACCTCACTTTCTATTTCTCTCTGTGATCTGATTATTCTTTTCTCCAGAGTATGTCCTAAAACTTCTCAAAGGCAGACCTAAAGTTTCCCAGATTGCCTTCTTTTTCTTACAAATGTACTCCTGTTTCCTAGAGATGGGAAACAACTGAATCCTCAGGCTATTAAAAATCTCTGCTGATTCATTTGCAATTCTGCATCCAAGTTCTTCTCATACTTTCTCTGGGATGGTGATCATTCAGGCCCCATTTAATTAAATGACAGAAGGCAGGAGGCTGCTGGTGCTTGTACAAGTAGAGACCTCAGGTAAAGCAAATTACCAGGAATTCCACAGCTGAGCTGCATTGTCTAAGCATATATTTGCTCCAGAGTCCTTGCAAAGTTATGTGAAATAATTTGTTGTGCTCTTCTGACCACTTGCCTAAACACAAGGAAGTCCATCCTATCATCCTTAAGTAGGTACCTAAAGCACTATATTTTTGCACAGAAAAGGAAAGACAAAATACTTGGATTATCTTTCATCTGACTTGAAATGTGTGAGCTCTCTGCAGCTGGAGGGACTTTTGAGGAAAGCCAAAATAGAAGGGATCATTTAAAATTTGCTTTTAAATTGTTGGTTGTCGGATTTGTTTGGGCCAATTCAATTTTTGCCACTAGAAAATCCAGAAACATTTCTACAAAATCAGTTTAAAATTAATGCAAAAGACTGGCTCACTACAACTAAGCAGAGGACTGAGATGACTTTCCTTCGTTATTAAACTATACAAGCTGTGTCCCACCAGGATCCAAAACACAGAGTGAGAAAGATAAGCTGTGGCCTGTTATCAATTGCAGCATTTACAACATTGTTTATCCTTTTAATATTGCCACTCAGAACAAACCAGCCTGGGGACAAGTAAGACTGCTCTGAGAAAATATCAACATTACTGTTCACACACACTTCTTAAACACCACAACTATTTTACATATTCATCTTTCCAAGCAATTTGCTAGCATCATTTGAATTCTAATTTAGCATATGTGTAATCCTTATGGGATGCTCAAAATTAGTTCAAGCAACAAACATTAAATGTTCTGACTCAATAATCTGAAGTCTTTAATTTTCTTTCTAATTAATAAATAAGGACTGTATAACCTTTGTGCAGAATGTGCTGACTTCAAAATATCTGCATGCCCACAAATTGTACCACTCACATCCAGTGCACTGCAAATACAAATCTTCCTTGCCTGCCCATTGGAAACCAGAACATCTTTTCCCAGCAAATGATCCACATGCTGGAAGTTGGTTTTAACAGAGCAGTGCTGTCTCCAGACTGCAAGGCAGGAGGGTTGGTCTAAGAGCCTAAAATTTAATCTAGCAGAAAATCAACACTTAATTAATCATACCTAGTCCATATCTGCAAAACTAACAAACACTGTACACTGAGTATTTGAGACATCCTATAGCTATGTATTTATTGACAAATATCTAGGTATTATGCACATGAGCAATCTATATACAGTTATTTACATCTACTGACTCAAACAGTGTGAGCATCTACCCTTGAAGATACAACTGCTACAGCTGGGTGAAGGAGATGTAGATTTAACATTTTGGATGGTCTGCAGTAAAGGCAGTAAGACCTTCACTTGCACCTTGTAGTTAAGTTGTGTTTGACTCCTGGCCTGCTAACTGTTGCTGAGTGTTCCTGAAATACTACCTATTGGATTCTCAGATGAAAAAAATAAGGAAGCAAAATTGTGACAGCCAAATCTGTTCTACTGTATAAGAGAGTCCATTAGAAATGCCTGGATTAATTGGTTTTTGGCATATGGGATGAAAATGGTACTTTTAAATGGCTGTTACAAATTGCTGTAAAACTAATTGCAAGTTTGGAAGCTCTCCAGCTTTTACTTTTGAGACTACATTTTATGACCTTCATCTGATTGTGATAGATCGCTGTGCCTAGATTTTAAATAATAAATTTGGCACTTAAATAAAAAAATAGATAAATAGTTAATGTTTAAATAAGCTCTTGTTTAATTGAACTATTTTTTTCCTTGAAATAAGGTTAAAAGTGATTTTTAAAGATAGGAAAGATCTAAACATGACCCAAAGTCGGTTTCAATTAACCAAGTAGGATGCTCTGCATTTTGTTTTTGTAATCCCTATTTGCTGCAGTAAAATTTTAGTGAAAAATATAAAATTGTAAGTTTATTCAAAGAACACACATTGTGGAAAAAGTCATCATAAATGCTGTCATTGCCTTGGTAGTTTTGGGGTTTTTGTTCCCAAACGGAGCAAGGAGGACAGCTGTTATATAGAAAAGTAATAAAATACCCATGCTCTGTTGAGGTGGCTCTTCAGGTACAATCAGTGGCATTGGCACTGGTCTGCCAAGACATCTGTGTCTCTGACACACTCAGGTGTGTTCAGGTGAGATTGCTGTGAGCTAACGGCAACCTGAGCCCCAGGTGCTGGAGACCACTCCTAACATCCCACCACAGCTGCTCTGAACTATCTGCTGAGCCCAGCAAGGGTTGTGGGTTCGGGTTTTCTTCCTACTTGAATGATGAAATAAGATCTCTCTTTGCCCACCCACAGGCCAGTTCCAGACTGCAGCTCTGGAGGCTTTCAGCGTGGTCGAGTTACCCTACCTGGGGGAGAAACTCAGCATGTTCCTAGTGCTTCCCAGCCACAAAAGAACACCTTTGTCCCAGATTGAGTCTCATCTTTCTGCCAAAACCATAATGCTCTGGGCCAACAGCTTGAAGAGAACAAAGATGGACATTTTTCTGCCTAGGTAAGCAATGTCAGCACAATGGATTGACTACTTCAGCTGTCAGAATTCCATGTGACAGTGCTGACACAAGCAGTGTGTGAGTAAAATCAAATTACATGCTTTTGGTTTCATTATTCATCATGTGATCAGAGATGCTCTAACCCTTTCTTAAACCACAAAGAGGTGAGCCAGGAATGACAAGACTTTCCGGTTACACTCTGTACTGTTTAAAAAACCTAAGAATTTCAGTTGATCCTACAGCTTTTACTTACAATTTGTTTGGGGTATAAATCTTTCAAGGATCTAAACCAGAGAAATGTTGCTGGACCTTTCCCACACCCATTTTTCTCTTTGCTTAAAGAAGAATAAACATATAACCTCCTAAAGGCATGGTATTTTATATTTTTGAAACTTGCCAGAGTACTAAAAAGGCACTGGGCAAAGAGCTTGGCCTCTCTCCAGCAGTCATAACCATCTTTCCATGCACAAAGCAGGTTTCACTCATCCATTTTCCACTTAAGTCAGTTGTTGTTCCAGCAAACACCTCTGCTGGAGGTATTTTCTATCATCTACTTCAATGAAATTGCATAGCAGGAGGAGTTAGGTGCAGAAGGCTTTATGTGGCTTTATCTGTTGCACGGATTAGCATGGAAGGGCTTCATTACACACCTCCTACAACACAGTCATCACATTAACAAAGCACTGAAAACCAGTGTGTACATTATTATGTGTTTTGTTCAAGCTAATCTTTGGGAAATGTTTCCAAGGGCCATTTGCTATAGCCAAAAAGAATATTAGAAAGAGAGCACTTTGGGAGAATGTAGAACATGTCAAGAAGACTGAGTAGCAATCTGATTGCAACAGAGAGTGGCGAGGGATTCCTTCTGTTAATGTCTCCAGGTGAAGCTGAGCTACTTCTCTGCAAATGCATTTAATCAAACAATGTACCAGGCTCATAGAGGAAGAGATGGATGAAATGCAAAGGCTTGAAATAAATTGTATCTGTTAATGCCTTTTATTCTACAAAACTCTACAAATCCTGCATTTAAATAAGGTCCATCATATTTATTTCAGGTTCAGTATTCAAAGCCTTTTTGACCTAAAGACAGTTCTTTCTACCTTGGGAATTAGAGATGCATTTGATCCCATCACTGCTAATTTTAAAGGCATTTCAGGTAAGAGGTTTGACTGAATACAAAGTGATCCTTCACCCAACAGTTGTAGACTCTTAAATTTTAATTATTTGTTAGACCTGGGTCTTCTGAATTGATTGTACTTCTTTATCTGTGGAACTCTAAAAGCACAATTCACACTGAACTGCAATTGGATTTTGAGCTGTTTTTTAAGAAAGAGGAACCCGAAAAGGACAGGTTTGGTTTTGGTCTTTTTTTTTCTTGTTTTTAAGATTAAAACTGTCAAGACAGTTCAGGCCTGGAAAAATGGTTATTCATTCAGAAATTTAGGATGCTTCAGTAAAACTTGAAACTTCAGTAAAACTTGAAACTTCCTATTTGTGTTTTTAAATCATTATTTAACAGCGAGGGATGCTGGTCCAACAAGTCTATATTCCAACTCCTGACACTGCAAACAACACTGGTTTATGCCCAGGCTATATCATCTTACTAATCCAGTAATCAGTAGACAGTTACACTTTACCTTTGCTAAAATACTGTTATGATTAAATTCTTGGGTTTGGGGCACTGAAATTCTTCTGCTCCATGGAAAATTTGTCCCCATTTAATAATAAATTTTAAAAAATGAATCCAAATTATCTATTCTTTTTCTTTTGACTCCTTCCAGCAACAAAATATTTCAATTCAGTCATTTCTGCTCACAGTAAAGACTTGGGAGTGGTAGCTGCCCAGCAAGCAGCTCACATTCTTGTGCAAGTGAGTGAATAAAAGAAATGGCTCCAATTCAGACAGACCTGCATTTACAGAAAAGTTGCTTTCCTGGGATGAACCTCAGAAGGCACATTACTCATGGAGTTTTTTATGCTGCTTTTGAAACTGAACATAGCAATGTTCTATTGCAATATAGATCTCGGACTGCACATAGATGCACATTAAAATAATTTGTTGCTGCTCACTGCTTCTTTGCTTATTGCAAACAAATGTTAATATAATACTGATAAACAACACAAGGATATATTTTATAAATATATATTTAAATAAGATAAATACTTTGGGGAAATTAATCACATAAACAATATAATTTAGCAGCTTAGTTTTGGCATATGGGATAAGGCTTGTAGAAGTATTTGATCCTGCCCTGATAGAGTTATGGAACAAAGGATATGTTGAGGCCCTTTTTAGTTCTACTCTTACACCACTGTGTCATACCAGTAGGGTTCTACTGGAAGAGGTACAAAAGGCAGAGTTAACAAGGAAAACGTATCTTTTACTTAACCAATAGATAGTTGAAAAAAAAATAGCTAAGTTTTCATTTCCTCTTCCATATGAAACAGAAAGATAATCTTCAGAATATTTCATCTCAGATCACATTTAGCAAACAAATGTGTTACTTTATTTCAGACCTGAAATAGTTTTTTATACCTGAAAGCTTGTATTTTTTCCCCCTCAAAAATGTTGAAGATGTATTTACTTTTTTAAACTCTTCCACTCCCTCATTTTGTCCTGCTTGCTTCCATTTCTGACTGGACAAAATTAAGACAAATAGATAAAATGCTCTTTTAACACTTCTTTTATTTCACCTATATGCTGGACTTGATCCTTGAACTCAGGAAAGAAAAAACTTCTCAACCTTTCCTGCTTTCTGCCTTTTGCAGGCAGCTGGAGAAAAGCAAACTTGTAACACTCTCTTCAGTGTCTCTGAAATTAATTCTTTTCCAAGACTCATTTTATGTCACAGTCCCATTGTTTCTTCTTGAAAAGCATTTTTTCTACATTTTCCCTTCCAAGGGCTCTTCAGTTCTTTCATTGTCCTCACTCTGTTCAAGTCTCTATTTTCACCATGTAACCTTGCCTTCCACTACAACCTGGAGACCTCTCAAACTAGTAACTCACATTCATCATTCAATCTACTGCTATCCATACAGTGGGGAAACAGTCAAAGGCTGAAATACCTAATAGGTATGTGATCCTTAGATTCTGCAGGCAAAAAAAGGTAAAAGCATTCTGATTATTTTTTAAAAAGATGTTTGTCATGAAATGCAGAAAATAACCTAAGTTTGGGGTTTTGCAGAGCAAGATGGTCTTTATATTTCAGAAGCTATTCACAAAGCAGAGATTGAAGTAACAGAAGATGGTACAAAGGCATCAGGAGCTACAGGTAAATGAAATATTCAAGCTTCTCACTACAAAACCAACTACTGTAATTTGAAACAAAGCATGGTAGAATTTATGCAAATACCTAACAAGCTTTTGTATTTAACACACTTCTATTTTACCTTTGTAACTGTTCATAAGAAACTTGAATTTTTGATGTCCGACTAAGGTGTAATGGCTCAAATGAAACAAACAACTTTGCTAGTCCAGGAAAAATCCAGCTTGAAAAAACTTAGTTGGTTAAATACCTATATGCTCAGATCATAAAAACAAAAAAATGAAAAAAAGGTTAGTAATATTTTTATCTACAGCTCTGAACTGTCAAGGGATTTGAGGACGATCTCTTTGATAGCATTAATGGTAATGGTGGGCAAGTTTTACGCAGACAATTGATTCTTACATGTTTTAAAATGTGACCTTCATGTGCAGTAGCTGCTGCTAGCAGGTCACTTCCACATAAGCAGATGGGACTGGGTGAGTAGGAGACTCAGAGTAAAATCTCAGCTATGGACAACCCAGTCAGTTGCACATCTCCTCACTCCACCACCCCACAGCTGCAATGCCAAAAAGAACCTAAGCACACCTAATGTATTCAGTGTTCCTCTAGAGCACACCTAATGTATTCAGTGTTCCTCTAGGAAACACCCCTGAATAAAACACATTTGTAAACATGGGAGTGTAAAGGGAACATCTAGCATAACTTAGTTAACTTAAAACTGTACAGCTCGGCAGAAAGGTTTTCTAACAGTTTTAATCTCTATCAGGGCAGTAATATTTTTAATAACTTTGTGGTAAGCCCCATTTAAAATAAAAGCTTTTAGGTGACTTCAATTACATACCAAAGACTAAGGCGAATAGACCCTTATCCCCTTGAAACCAATGCCAAAACATCCCTTAACTCCAGTCAGACCAAGCTGACAAGCAGATTTTAAAAAGTGAAATTACATTTATTGTTTACTTTACAAGTTTCCAATCTAGTCACACAATGACTTGAAACTAGGCACTTTTTTCTTTCACAAGCACTAAAATGGTGCCTTCTCAATTTCATTGTGTCTTACTTGAATTTTCAAACTAATTCCATTGTTTTAACTATTCAAAAAATAATCCACATCTGGTGGGTTTAGTATGGAGGGGGGTTGACAACGTATTCTTAATATTATATAGCTAAAAGGAAGAATTAAATTAAGATGTATTTTAATAATAGCTGAGCCACCATAATTCTTTAAAACTTTTTATTTAATAATTAACCCACAACCAGAGAAGAAAGACAGTCATAAACTGAGTTTAAGATACTTAAGATTTTGTTGAGAGCTCCAACCAGAGAAATTCCAGGATGATGTAGGTATTTCTCTGCTTGTCTCCCAATTGGATACGGAGCTACATTTGTGCCTTGTTTATCTTTTCCACCAGAACAGCAGAGCTAGGAGCTGGCTAACAGGTGAGGCAATAATAGCATGGTATGACTTCAGCAGAGTTAGGGATTTGAGGACGACAAAAATTACCTTTGAGATCCAAGGCCAGGTAGATGCCCTTCAGCATTGAAATATGCATGAATTGCCTGCATGTAGCCTTACAACTAACAACCTGTAAATTCTGCCAGACTAATTTCACTGTTGGATAAAATTGTTTTAGTCTTAAAGCAGAGGAGCAACTCAAAAGTTAAGGTACTAACCACAGGGCACTGTATAGAACATGGAAAGAAAACAGATGCATTTTACTGATGGTTTCTTTGTTGCATTTCAGCAATGGTCTTACTAAAAAGATCTCGAACACCTATTTTCAAAGCAGATCGACCTTTCACATTTTTCCTGAGGCAAGTTAATACAGGTATGCATGCTCTGTTTAGGAGCAGAATCCCTCACAAGCAGCACTGAAATCAATGCAAATAGAATGTCAATCTTCAGTCCAGGAAACTTCAAACAACCATGGAAACAGTGGGGTTTGGGGTTTTAGAGCATAGATTTTAGTTTCCTTAAACAATGTACAATAGTCATAGAAGTCTAGGAAGTCAGATTAGCCTCTCCTTTGGACATGCAGCATTTGCTCTAAAATTTTTATCAAAATTACAGGCACTAGAGAGATCTCACAGATGCTGAACACTTCAGTATCCAGAACTGATCTCTACAGGGCAACTCAAATTACAAATGGGCTGGACCAGCTGAATTAACACCTGAAGTAGTTAAAATAGAAACCATTCCCTATACAGGAAACTTAACCATGCCTGTACTGATAGCAAACAGACTTCTGCTAAGAAATGTTACCTTGCGACCATTAACTCTTCTCTTGCAAGTGACCTTCCCTAGCCCCCAAACAAACACCACCCAAAAAACCCAAACAGAACTGCAGAGCATGTCTTAGAGTGAAGCATCACAGTGCTCCTTTAGCTTCAGTAGTGGATTACAAGTCTCATTGCAGATGTACGAACACATTAAATTACTCCAGACTGCCTGCCAAAAGAAAACACCCTATAGCTTGTTGGCAATAATAAAGAACTGCATTATTCACCATTTAGCAGGTATTTGCTACTCCAAAGCAACAGCCAGCCTCCAACAACTCTTATTCTTAACAATGCAGTAATTTTGCATCTGAAGTATTTTCGTAGAAATCGTTTGAACTACCACATTTCTCTCATAACTGGGGTCACAGCCATTTAGATTTTCAAGGAACACAGAGACATTTACAGGGTTCAATAAAGCACTAGGGCCTAACACAAAGGCAGGAACCATTTCCCTTACCTGCTTCCAAGCAACACACACTGTTCTCTTAGCGAATACCCATGTATGTAACATTTTGTTTTAAAAACCTGTATCTTAAATTTTGACCACAGTGCAAGCGCCCAAAAAGAAAATTACTGCCTTGGTTGGAATTTTGTTTTAAATATGCTTAGGCAATCATTACTAGTCAATGCATGATAGTATTTTACTTGGAAAATGCAGAATTTTAAAATAAAAAAGGCATTAATAAGCTCATCTATGAAACATGAGCCACAGACTCTTCAGGATTTAGAACAAACTTACTTCGGTGAATAAAATGGTCAGCTTACAATATACATAAATTCTATAAAGAGGAAGGAAATCAGATTGTAAAATAGGATTTTTTTAATTTGAAGCATAAAATAAATACCTTCCAATCAACTCTAAATCAAAAAAATATTTCTATAATTCAAGCTTCGCAATGCAAAAAGTGAAAACATGAATTTTTTTGCTCATACTTAGTAATTCAAGTTTTTGAGGTATGTAGAACTTCAACAGGTAAACAAGATCTATTTTCTATCCACCTGTCTAGAAGTGCTTAAAGTTCCTATGCCCATAAAGTTCTAAATTAATCTTTATGTAGACTGAAAGTATTCAGTGCATCAATTTTCTAGTAATAGCAGAAATATGTTTTCCAATACTTAAAATAGCATAGTTCTGCTCAAAATAACTGAAAAATTTAGCTTTTTAATCAGAATTTCAGGTTTGAGTACATTTCCTTTGAAGAACAGGCAAGGTAACACCAATATGAATAATTAAATACATCAAATGAATCTGAGGCAATTTCATTCTCTTCTGTAACTAAAATATGAACAAAGCAATGATCTTAGGTTCTATTTTGTTGAGTGTAAATAAATTTCAGATTTCAGCAGGTTCCTAGTTTGGGCTACCAATTACTTGGAAAGGTGTTTTTAATACAGAAATGTTTAGACTATTTTAAGACAAGCATGCAATTGCAGTCATTTTTCCATACAAGCAATGAACAATTCTACAATCTACTAACTCCATGCCTAACTTTTGTATTTAAGCTGTACTACACCCTGAAAGCATGGCCCCAAACTGAAATAATGTTCATATTATTTTCATTTACAGGTTCAGTACTTTTTATAGGAAGAGTTACAAATCCTTCATAACAAGACCTAAATGCATACACTGACTTCTGTTCCTCCTATGATAAGCTTTCTTCCAATGAAATTAAAGGCTACATTGTATGTATTTAATAAAACACAGCTTTAAGCTTTTCCAAGAATAAGCAAGAGTAAAAGCTCTCCACTACACCTTATTACATTGTAGACACTGTTGAAACCTAGAGTTGTCTAGGAATCATCAATACCACAACTACAGCAAAGACAGTATTCCAAAATAAACATTAGCAAAAAAATGGAACAGGTTCAGCCTCCTAAATGTTTAACAATATGAGCCAACAGCTTCTCTTCAACTTTATCATGGCTAAAGTCAGCTTGACTGTTGCTAGGTATGTAGGTCATCTGAATGAAAGCAACCCAAAAGAAATCTTTGTGATGTTACTTATCAAGTACAATTGTATTTCCCTGCCCTGAAGTCAAGAGCTTAAAACTGAAATTAAAACTTAAAAATTAAAACTTTAAACTGAAATTCTGTCTGACCTCAGACAGTAATAATTCAGCTGATACAGAATGTAACAAGCAAGCAGCAAAATGCTGTGGTAAGAAAATCAAGTTGAAAGGTTGTTTCAAAACTGACACAATCATAGAATCATTAAAGTTGGAAAATACCTCTCAGATAATAGTCTAACCATTAACCCAGCACTGCCAAGTCCATCACAAAACCAAGTCCCTCACAAAACCAAGTCCCTAAACACCACACCTACACACTTTCTGAATGCTTCCAGGGGTGCTGATTCTATCACTTGCCAGGGCAGCCTGTTTCCAAACACAGCAGGTATGAAGCAGAAATAGCCACTCAGTGACCAAACAAATATTGCCATAAAACACAGCAGTACTATCTCTACTGCCTTTGAAGCACACAGAAGATAGAACGGACATTCCAGAAGAACACAATGTGACTACTGGAATCAAGAAAAATGGGGAGTGTATTTTTTGTCAGTATCCTGACAAAAGCTGGGATATGGCAAGTGTTCAGCAATTCATAGCACAAGCATCAGAAACACAGGCCCATAAAGATTTTGGGTGAAGGCTGCAAACCAGTGACTCCCAAGAAAATCAGAGGACTGTTTTATTCAGCTCCCACTGAATCAAACAAAGCCTTCCAGATCATTCAGAGCATCCAGCACAGCTGAAAGACATGGGCAGTAAGGCAATCGGTGATATTTATGTCCAGGCAGCAGCACCCTGTGGGTGTTCCTGCCTTCGTAAACATGTAAAATCTTCTGACATAGAAAACCTCTGTGCAACCTTCCTCAAAAGCTGTTGACCCCTGCTTTACTGCACTGTATCCCTCAAAACTGCAGGGCTTGTCATGGCAGCAGATGTGCATACAAAACATCACTTTGTTATGCTGGTCACCAAAAGTGCAAAGCACACAAGATATCCTACTGTAGCTGCAATTCAGCATTAGCTCTCTTTCACTCGTTCTCTGATTAAGAACAGAATATCCAGTGATACAAAACCACTCTTCATTCTTCAGCACTGATACCAGAACAAAGCAGCTGTGGAAAGGGAAGGCAAAACAAGGAATTCCAATAAAAATTGTACTCAAACCTACACAAAAATTAAAATAGATATTTTATTGATGGAATAACAAAAGTGCTTTTCTTAAATATTTTTCAAAATACATTTATACAACTTACAATAATATATCCAAAATAACTGTATATACAAAACATTACCTTTTTTAATGTATGTGCTTTTTTTTTTTTGAAAATTACAAAGCAACTTTTTGGCAAAGTTCAACCTTAAGAGGTGATAGTTTTGAAGGTTAGATTAAGAAAAATAGAACCTGAGGGAAAGTGACACTTATGTCCATGACAAGCAAGAAGTTCTCAATTTAGTTAAATAAAAATGTTTTCATAGTATTTTTCACATTACAAAAATAACAGAAGTGAGGAAAAAAAAAAGATGATGGATACTTCTCATCATTTTATTGAGCAGCTTCTCATTCTTTCAGGTACAGGAACTTGAGATTAAGAGTGCATGTCAAAAATGAATGCAAGTAAGAACAGCAGTGCCCTGCTGTGGCTCTCTCTTATGTGCATTTTCTTAGTTGCTGTTGATATGGTTGACCTGATTGGATCTGCGATGGATTTCTTCAAGAAAACTCTCAAGCTGTTCTATCAGCATTCGTTTTTTAAACCTGGATTTAAAAGAAAGCATTACAATGGATGCACAGAGCAATACATGAAACATTATTGACAAAACTTTTACCGAACTCTGGGAACTTCAGTTATTACTGCAGAAGCAGTGCATGATGAGGCTACACATATCTCATACGTATACATATGCTGTCTCTTAACATTCTGATAAACCACTAGAACTTGATTTTCCATTTGCTGAATATGAAACTACTTTTAAGAGAGTTTATTATAGCACATTACTATAGCTGAACATCACTCAGGTCCCAGAAATCCAGGAAAAGGAGTTAAGAGTTTGTTGCTTCCAGAAGTACTAAAGTACAGAAATAAAATATACATCAAAAGAACTGTAATAACAAAGCTGGCAAACAGCTGTTAAGGATTATTTGCATGCTTTCATGATGCATTCGCCAAAGTTAACAAAGTTGGTATTGGTGGAGGAACAGCCATTACACAGTGCAGATTACACACAGATTTCCTGACAAACAAATTAAAACTTGGGGAAAGAAATGAAAGGAAAACATAGGCATCTAAACTCCATACCTCTGGAGTCTCTATTCCATATCAGTTGTATAAATTTGATTAGTAGGCTATTCTGTCACCTCTGCTTACACCCCTACCTCAGGATGTACATCACCTTGCAGTTTCCAACTAACCACTCCCCTTTGCAACATTTCTGTACCTCTGAGAAGCCACTTCTGACCAATGCTTTGGTAGCCATATGTGTGTTCAAAGACAGGCAGCAATGAAAATACTTTGAACTATATTCCAGGTTAAGTCCTGTGACTTCACTAAACCCCAGCAAAAGCCTCTAGTTCCCATCAGGCATCCTGGTCCATGTCTTTGGCTCACAGAGGCATGGTACCTGCCCTAATTTTGAGATCACAAGTCTCCCCACAATCCTTGATGCATTCAAGAGCAACCACTCAACCACTGCCAAATTTTATAGAAGTGTCAGCTAAAGATAACTGGTATAAAGAGATTGTGCAAGAGAAATGAGTTACAGGTGATCTTAAAAGCTTAATTTTACAGGCACAAAAATTCCAACCCCACTAAGGACTGCCACAAAGCTCCAAGAGCAACAGTATGATTTTGGTGGGCTGTGACAGTGTGGGAGAATGTATAATTTACAACATATAGAACAACTCTGCCAGGCAATACAGCAATCAAGCAAAAGCACAATAAAGCAATTGTTGCTGTAGGAAGAGCATGATGTACATAAATTTACATGCCCCACTGAGCTGGCAAGAGAAGGCTAGAGGATCTGTATAAATGTCCAACATCCAGTATATCTTAAACTCTCAGCATAGTTTTCTCCTAAAATTACTTTGTTTTTAAAGAATGAAATTTGCTTAATGCGACAGGAAGAGATGACTACTACAAAACAGATTAAAGAATAAGAAGCAATTATTCTTTGAGATTCCTGAAGTAAGCCTCAAATATCTGGTTATCCAGATTCTGGATTACTAGTTCCCAGCTTCTCAAACACTACTGGTTCTAATACATTTCTTTTTTTTTCCTCTCAGTAAGCATGTAGAAGGCTAAGTATGGACGGTCTAAAGACACTGTAAAGAACAGTTTCTACCTGGATGAAAAACACAGGGTTTAAATCCTTATCAAGTCACTCTTCTCCAGAGAAAAGTCACCTCCATTTCCAAAGTCTCAGACAGGACTACACTATCTCTGAATGAAGTATGCTGAAGAGCAGAGACATCTTTATGAGCATACCTGAATATAAAAACTATTTTTAGGACAAGATTTTGAGCTGATTCTGTTTCTGAAAGCCTAATTCCCAGTAACTGGCAGCTCCATTACACTTTCAAATTAGCAGTACACACTCACCTGAACTTTTTAATTGGAATGTTTATTTTAAAGTTAACTTCTCTTTCTATGCCATTTTCCATCTACATTTACAGGGATTTGGCAGTTAAGAGTTGCTAACATCTTTAAGCCAAAATCCAAATGAAAAAGGTAAGCTTTTACAAACAATACCTCAAGAAGCTTATGCATTTCTGCTCTTTCATAAGGAATTATTTACTTGCAGTGCAAAGCATTGTTTTCAAACAATTGCATGATTGTCGAGCAGTTATACACGGCACAACATGGTACAGTTTTGTAAGAATAATACAATTCTGTTACCTACCTTGAAGCTTCTTTAATAACATTCTGTAAAAATATCAATCGGGTCTGTAAGCTTCCTTGTACATGCTTCAGTAAAAAGAAGATTCTTTCATACTCTTAAAGGTCAAGAGAAAAGAAACATCAGTTATTTAAAAGATGCCTACACAGATATCTGTTGTTATATATGAGTAAAATGCAACATTCAATTTTTGTAAACTTCTAAGCTGTATCTCCTATCAACTGGAGCAAGAACATCTTATTTAATGAGGACTAACATTAAAAAACCACAGAATATTGCAGGTTAGGATATTACTAACACCTATCAAGTTAATTCTAGTATTGATATAAAAAACATGACTTTAATGAACACTGATAGGTACAGCAATGTTTTAATCACTTCTACAGTAAGTTTTTAACAGGGGTTTTAAAACAAATCTTTTCAGCTTTGAATTTAAATTTTGCTTCAGTCTCATGGGCCAGTACACTTCTAAAATAGTGATCTAACATGAATTCTTTGTTTAACTCTCACAACAATTATCCTAAAGAAATTCAGTATACTTACTCCTTCCTGGTTTTCGGATCTCCTTCATAATTTGTGCTCTTAGCTCTATATTAATCTCTCTGGAACTTCTGCAGTGCACTGTTTTTTTCCCTTTGCTAGGTGAAGATGTTGTCATGCTCTCTTCCACACTCTGCTCTTTACTACCTGATTCCTCGTGATTCTCCAAAAACCCATCAACATTCAAATTATTCCCTAAATGTTCATGGCCTGCATCCTCTGTATGTGCTGTCGGTCGATCCAATGAATTGAATGGTGAAGAGGACAGTGAAAACTCTGAATTCACAGCATTTGGGAAAACATCTGATGAAAGGGAGTCTGTAACGTGATTCTCAATGACATCATCAACTCCAGCTTCATTATTTGCTTCTGATGCTGAAAAAACAAAGATTACACTTGCCAGGTTCAAATTCCTTATCAGATGATCCAAGTCAATGAGTCAGATCAGTATTAGGCTCTTAAAACTATGCCCCAGCTCAAACAGTCTACTGTACATGCCAGGCATAAGAAAATTTGCTTGTGCATTATAGCACTGGGCCCATCACTATCTCCTGGCAATTAAGGACTTTCAAAAAAACCATAGCTATATTCTTGGTATGAAAAAGGAAATTACTGTATGGACTACCAACGAAAGAAAAACCACCTAAGAAGTGATTTTATGATATGGTGTCTTTCCCCCTTTAAATAAAACTAACCAAGTTTACTTTAGTACTAAACACTGAGTAAGAGCTAGTTATACAGCCCCTTAGCTTCACACCCAGGGAAGTGATTTCACTGCACTAGAGCAAAATCCAAACTAACTTCATGCTGTGATACTTCTAGAGTATCTAAATTTCCTGGCAAAGGGAGAAAACTCTTCTCATCTACACTGTCTCCTCAGGACAGAGGAAATACGTTGTTTATACTTGGAATTTATATGGAAGACTTCCATCTGAAGGACTATATGAACTCTAACATTAACCCCAGATACACACTCAAGTACTTAATTTTCAAGAGGGAGGGATAAAATTGCCATATTCACAAATCAGCCAGCAGTACTTTTTACACAAAAAAGTTTTTTCAGATACATTAAAAAACAAACTTTAACGGTTTTGAAGATTCACTTACTTTTGTGAACAGCAATGGGTTTAACAAGGTCAGGCTGTGCTTGTGCAAGTTGTGTTGGTGGCCCTTTTCCTCCAGTGTGGTTATTGACAACTGGAGGAGTTTGTGGTCGCCCTCTGAGCAGGGGGGACATACAACGTCGCCTTTTCGGAATCCCTTGCATATTTGGTTCTCCGGGTCTTTTATGTTTATTTTGAGGTCCCGATACAAATTCATCTGCTTCATCTATCATCATTCCCTGTAATTAATTTAACAGGAAGAATTCTTATGCGTCACACCAAAACCACATAAGGTACAATTAACACTCCAGTATTACCATAATATTTAGCATGCATAAGAGTTACATACAACATGCCATTGTTTGGAATTCCAAACTGTCAACCGAGACCAGATAAATGTGCTTAAGGCCCTTATCCAACAGTCTGACAAGGTGAGGGAGTGGGGCATCAAGCCTCCTTTTCAGTAATTGCAAAGAGACTCACATTTAATACAACAGCTCTAACTTATACTGGCAGCTTGGTCAATTTCAGAGATTTGGATAAAAGGGACAGTTAAGACTCTAAAAGTTGAGGCAAGTATTTCAGTTATATTACTATTTAGAGACATAATACTGGTTTTCCAACAAAGACTGCCCTCCATATGATACTACTGATGGAAGAACATCTGATAGAGACACTTTTTTGTAAACATTTTTTTTACAAGTATTTGAAAGGGTTTCTCCAATAGACTATTCAAAGATCAATGCAGGCAGCAGCACACACACACCAGACCATTTTTGAAAACGCTTTACAGAAAAGTCACCTTTTTGTCCAATTTGAATGGATTGCCAAATGTATGAAGCCTTCGTGGTTGATCAGGATCAAGTTCTCGGAGTGGAGAAGGTATTTGTTTTAGATACTCCTGGTAGTTTCCCATTTGTGCTATAGGTACACTGTGAACTTGATCTATCATAACAGAGGAGTTAATTAATACACAGTAATGCTGCCATTATGAGAGTTTAGTCTATATCCATATCTCCAGTATTCAGACTTTTACCATATGCATTAACAAAACAGCTATAAAAAGCTCACCATTTTTCTTGCCTAACTGGTAATTATGAGACTTTTGACTCCAGGAGAAATGCTCAAAGGAATCAGTACATAACTTGGGGATTTATCATTTTGACAGGAAATAAGCAATATGTGTTGTACACAGATGTTAGTTTTCCAATGTGTCCCAACTTTGCAACAGAGCAGTGGATGGAAAAACAGACTAGGAACAAATTAGAACTAAAAGGTTACTGCAAACAAAAGCCATATTAAAGCAAAGTAGTAATGCCATGCTGGACACAGCTTTGACATCACTTCATTCAATTTCAGCCACCTGAAACTTTATTGTCAAGACTAGCATTTTCCCAGAGCAAGTGTGACCTTTGACCACTGTAAATCAACCAATTCTTAAACCCATAGGAACTGATTTTAAACTTGTTCTAGAGTTGCCAAGCCTTTGATCCAGAAAAAAATACACTTGAAGAAACTGCAGAAAAAAAATCCTAACGTAACTTAATCCTCCCCTCTGAAGAACAACTACTCTGACAAAGTGATAACGTAATGTGAAATGTACAGATGTTAATCTGACCTAAGTTGTAGCAGCACTAATGTAGCACAAGCTTTCACTTGCATTGCCCTTCTCACTCTACTTATTTCAACATCTCCAGTTAAATGCCACAAAGCAGTGCCAGAAGACTACAGGGAAAAACAGGTAAAGGAATAAGCAGACTACTGAACCATTTATTGTTGTCTCAACAGGCAAAACAACCACAGTACCAGCACCCAGTGAGCTAGATTAATTTTACACTCCTCACAATCTGCTTCTACTGAGAGAAAGAGACAATGTTCAGAACTGCCCTGTGATTTTATCAGATACATCCATGAGAGTCAGGAAAAACAGTGTATAAAGAATCTTCTGTAAAAGCCCAAGTCCCCTCACATGGACTTAAGGATAGACCAGTCAATCAGCAATCTTGTCTGTCCTCACCGTTTTTTCCTCCAAGGTAAAGAAAAAGCATCTAGAAAATCCATGCAGTGTAATGGCAGTATCAGACATGCACCCGGTTTTAAAGAACTACATTATTTGTTACATTGTTTCTTTGCAATGATCATATCCCAGGCAGACAAAATATAAACTGTTACCTAACCTTCATCTTGTCCTTTGAGGAACTTGCGAGTACTCTTCAGTAAATTAGATCTCATTCGTGTTAACTGATCCAAAAGATTTCTTCTGGGTATGTCATAGGCATTTCTAAATGTCTGAGGTTTCAAATCCTATGGTTCCAGTAAATGAAATTGCAATTAATGCCATGTAAGAAATAATATCTAGCATTTCAATGGAAGTATATTGAAAATAACAACATTACACACAGTGGTGCTTACCTTATTCAGCAAAGCTATTTGGAACCCAGCATACTCCTTCATATTGAGGTCTAGAGGTCTATGAGGAATTTCCCCAGTAATCCCCTGTAGCAGATGTTGAAAATCGTTCCTATGTGCCATAGACAGGTTGTGTGATCTGCTTCTGACCTTAATTCCAGTCTCTTGCGCTACCTTTTTGCCTACAGAGCCAATGACTCTATCGGACTCTATTTTGGCCTTAATTTGAAATAAATAAATAAATAAAATTGACAATATGCTCTTAAAAGGATTAGTCAGACTTATTCATTTTAAATTCCTACCTACAAGATTCAACAATGTGCTAACACACTATGACGACCATAACCAGGCTGAATGCTTAAGGAGTGCTTAATACATAACAGCTTAATGCCTACTACAGCTTGAAATACAGCTAACAGTTTTCTGCCTAGGTCTTCTGCATATTTCTCCTCTGCTGCCCATTACAGTATCTAAGCACCAATATGCATGCAATGCTTTTATTTTCGTAAAATGCCATAATTTGACTAGTAATTCTCTGCAGATCTATCTGTACTCATATAATGTTCAGCTGTTCCTGTAGAGAACAGTAAAACTCTCACAAGACTGATTCTCCCACAACTGTAGTTGCAATCAGTCACCCAATGATATCAACTTTCTTAACGCTCAATACAAATAGCCATAACATTAACCAATTGAAATATATGAAAATAACCAACTGGTTGATCAGACAGACCTAGCTCCTAATATTACGTTAGATTTGTACCAAAATTAAACGTGTTCATAAATGCTGGCTTTTTGACAGAATACAGTGAAACAAGCCAAAAGGAATTTAGTAACAACTGTCAATTTTGGTTTTGCAATTTCACATAAATTTGACTATGTATTGAGAATGCTGAGTCTTTACTGGCAGAACCTTTCAGAAGTTACAAAAGCTTTAAGTACAATTTGCAGTGCATGTCATTACATCTTAGAGGAGTCCAAGATGTCTAGGTTGAGACATCAGTTCAAAGAATAGTGAGCAACATGACTATGATTTAACAGGACTTTAAGACATTTGCTTCCTCAAATAATTATTTATATTCATGTTTTAAGACAAAGGTGGTCTGTAAAAACTCACTAGCTAAGTTACCAGTACTTGGCACTATTGTTTCTTGAAGTCTCAAGTTTACTTTTTTTATCTTGAACACAAAGCTTAACATGCACAGTTCAAAAGTGGAGGTAGCAGGGCAGAAATGCTTTAGCTGGTGCAGGAGCCTAGACAAAGATTCAGGCACTATTCTGAACATGATAAGCAGTTTCAAATGTTCACTTGTCATTTCTACATCTGTACCATTATTTGATACTGTCAGTTATTTACTGAACGCTTTCCACTTCATGTCACAAGCCAAAGAAAGAACACGGATTCTGATGCATCAAGCACAAATCCCCATTTCCTACAAAAACACTAAAACATCTTTAAAGACAACATGGGGTTTTTTGGATAAAAGTATGTTATTCTCTGCACAAGTGAAAATGCTCCTTAAATAGAAGAAATCTCAACTTGTACTTCTGTATCTGTCTCTATATAGTTTAGTTTATAAAACCTGTATTTAAATGTTATATTTTCCTTCAATTCAAAAAAACAAAATTATTTTTTGCTAATTGCTTATGGGAAAGTATTAACTTGATCTTTCTGCTCATTTTTCCTACAAAGCCACTGAACTTGAGTATTTTAAGATTATCCTGCTATTAGAATAAGTTTTTACTGCTCTTTTGCTTCAACATTACCTGCTGACTCAACTTTTTGAGATATGAAATGACACTGTAACTAAGTCCATATTCCACATTGTCAGCTATAAGGTTTGGTGCTCCCATCATTCTCACAGCTTTCTTCAAAGGCTGAAACATGGAATATATTGCATGGTCATATTTAACTTCATGCATACTTCAACTAACCGTACCCTTTTCAAACAGAACCTGAGGTTCTGAAAGTTTGAAAAGAACAAGAAAGACTCAGAACAGTATTTTTTGTTGTTTTAAAATAGCTCAATTTATATAGAATCAGTTAAAAATATGACTTATATACAAGTCCCAGTTTATTATGAAATTAAGAAAATTTCATAGCATTCAGGTCTCAGGTCTTCCACAGGACTCCAGTGAAAACACTATCATTATGTATGAAGTTTAACTACTCGCTCAAATTAGTATACATTCTACTTAAAATAAGGATTATATTCATAATATAATAAAATATTATAAAATAAAATATTATAAAATAAAACAACTATAAACCAGACATTTTAACAGTCATCTTACCCCAAGATAATAAGGAGGCATTGTCTTCAAATAACTTTCAAATGACTGACGCCACTTCAATGTAGGCTTTGCCTTATGTACTTTAAACAAGTCATCTAATGGTTATAAAAAAGCAAAGCAGCAAAATGAAAGGCATGTCAAGATAGCATTGCATTTTTTTTCTATAAAAAAATTCTAGTTAAAGAAACTCTTGAAGAAATGCAAATTCCTCGATGATTAAATTAGAATCTACAAGTCAACATATATATAACTAAACCAAACACACACAAGATTAATGCTGCAGCCAAAAATAGAACCTGATAAATTACCAAATTGAACTGGTATTGAGACAACAGATTAGGAAAAATGGCTCTTGAAAAAATGAAAGTGAGACCGAAACATATCTGAAAATGATGATTGAGTAAATCATCTTACACACTGAGTCTGAGTCATGAAGGCCAGGCAATTGGAGACAAGTGAAACAAGTCACTGATTCTACCTTTCTCCAAGTGTTATTAATACTGGCATTAATCGCAGTAATCTATTTAAATTACATCAGTGTTTCAATTACCTACCACATAAGAAAACTTGTATGAAGTGGTATTTACCTAGCAGTGGAAGCAGGACTGGGTAGTTGTAAGGCATCACAAATAAATTAACACAATTCAGCGCTGTACTAGCTTTCAAGTAACCAAAAGGATGACCAAGTTCACTGTATTTTGCACTATTGCTCACATACACCTGCAATTAAACACATTACATTAGATTTCCACACCAAGTACTCTGAAATTCTGCATCCTATTTTGACTGTAGAATAAAATATATGAAAAACAGCATTCCATAAACTTCAATTCAGCATGCATTCTACTTGCCTGCCAGCAGGTCTGAGGGGATTTTCTTTCCAGGATAAACTGGGTCAGTGGTGAAGGTTCCAGCTCGTATTTATCAAAAGGCAGTTTGTCAATGACCATCGGTTCACAGTCAGTACAGGAAAATTTCACCACAGGATGAGATGTACGAGGTGGCTAAACAAAGTATTCCACTGTTACTAAGGCTGCACAACAATTAAAATGCATTTGTGCTATGACAACTGAAGTAACACTGCTTCTTTGAAAACACATTTAAGGAACCTACTCAATACAGGATTCATTTACTGAGTCCTAAGCAATTTATGATGTTAGCACTGTCTTATTCTGAAGGAATCTTGTTTTCTAAATAAATGCCAGTTACTTTACATAGTAAGTCTAGAGCAATGTGCAACTAAGATTTCTTGCATTTACCCAAAAGCAGTACAAATGGGAGCAGGTCCTAGTGGGGACAGAAAAACCATCATCATTGCTACTCTGGGACATGTCCATTTTCATTCCCTACAAAAGCAGGTGCTGTACTTCTGCATTTGCTGACTTTGCCAGGAACTTCCCCTGGCAAATTTAACAGTTACAAAACTCAAGCAGTTATAGAGATCAAGAGCAACATGAACTCAGAAAAAAAAAAAAATTAAAAATTCACATTTTAACTAGGCTTGAGAAAAAGTTATTTCAGTTCAAGAAACTTAAGTGTTTGGATTTTTTTAATCTTTTTATTAATCACAGGAAAAAGACCTTTGCATCTCAAGTTTCAACTTGAAATTTCTTTTGCCAAAAGGGAAAGACAATTTTCAGTGTGATGAAAATTGGAGCTGTACACCTTCCACTGAAGAGAGGAATGTAAGTTCTTATACTCTGAGCCTTCTCCCAGGGCCACTAGAATCTGAGGAAGAGCCCAACTGGGAAGCCTCCTTCCATTTACTCCATTTACAAAAAGGTAACTCACAAATATACAAGATGAAGAAGAAAAACACAAGGTTTCTTGGACCATCTTACCACTTCGCCTTGAAAGCCATTCTTTTATGTCTAAGCTCTAGGCTCTTCATTTTAGGGTAAGCCACCCAAACAAGTTCTCTGTCAAGAGAGCTGGTCTTGCCTTGAGTGTCTCCACCCTGAGGAAGGTGCTTTCTCCAACTGGACACCAAACAGGACGCCCAGCCAAATGGAGGAAGAACAACTCTCTTCAAAGAGTATGACTAATAAATAGTTGTGGCAGAGTTTTTGACCAAGCCACCAAAGTTATACTAGAAATAAAAAGGCTGCAAAAGACATTGACTACTCAGACTTGAGAAGTCTAATAATCCACTGCTGGAGAGCAGAACTAGTTTTACCTCTGAGCAGCTGAAGCAGCCATTTACATGTTGATCTGCCAACATAATTATCAGCAGACTTTAATATACATTTAACAAAGTCTTTATGGTGTCATTGTCATTAGCCACAGTAGACTTAAGTTCTTGTGATAGAACTGTTTGAGACAACTCCACTGTAGATCAGGCAACAGTCAGGAAAAGCCAAGTATTTAACCATGAACTCTTAAGCAGCCAAGATACGCTGCATACATACACACTGATTACAACATATGCTGTGTTTGAATGCTACTGTTAGAACAGTACTGAAATACAGGTCTTGAAACACTACCAGCAACTTAGCTCCCCAACACTGCATGAGGAAGGTACAATGCAGAATTCCTATTGATGTTGACAAGAATTTAGCTGTACATGACAGTGCTGTATAGTTATGACAGCTATACACACAACAGAAAAAAACCTCATCTTTTTGCCATTTGAGTATGTCAACTTCAGGCTTTTGGAAGATTTAATTCAACAACTCTTCACTTGGCAAGATCTATTTTATCAGTCTTGATTAAGACCTGGAGTAGCAAACTGCACAGATTCTATACAGCAAATGGAGGCAGATACGCTACTGACAGTGATTACAAGGAATACACAGGATCAGCTTTCCTACAGAACACCTTTTATATAGCCACTACATAATGACATCTTGTTTCTTTTAAGGACTACAGCAAATTTACTTATATATGCTAACTTGCTTGTAGTTCAGAAGGACAACTACACCCTTTAATGAACATTGCCACACATGTAAAAAATATCCAACCTGTAAACATGACTAAAATTTCATACTCTATCACTCCTCAACAGTCTGTATGTCAAAGGACTTAATCTGTTTTCTAACCAAGAAATAAAATTTACAGGAAGTTCAGTGAGTGTTAGCACATCTGTTTCATATAAAAAAACCCAAAAAATTCAGTAAAAATCATAATGAAATGTAGGTAACTATTATACAACTGCAGGATTTCTACTTTAACTATTTCAAATATAAACAAACACAAAAGTGTATTATACTATATTAGTAATTAGTTCTCAGACAAAAAGGCAGTAGCATACATTCTTTTGTGAAAAAAACAAATTAATTAATTCTTAATTCAAAAGCTGAGGTTTTCTCAGTTTGGATAAACTGAAGGTGTGGCTAAACTGCACAACAGCAGATGAAACTATATTCACTTGCTAGAATGAAAGTAGAACTACCACAGGGATTCAAATTGTCAAGATGATACTGTCCCCTTTATCAATACCTTCTACGAGGCAATAGAATTCTACAGGCTTTTACTAAGTGCCACCATTTGATATTTAACAGGGTTCAAACAAACACTTCTGTGCATGTACCGGGTCAAAAGTCTGTTACAGGCAGTTTCCTAATGCTTCAAAGTTACTAAAAAGAAAACCCCATGTTATTTCCTCATCAGTAATTTACAGGCTTGCATGTGTCACTCCTTCCACAGGAAGGAAGCGTGTGTCACACTGCTTCCATATTTGCTACAATGTAATACATGTGTCAAGAGTTGAAAAAAAAATGTTACTAGGAAATCCTAGAATATTCCTGCATGCACAAACCCTTTGCTTTATCTTCAGTACATACCAGTGTTGGAGAATTTTGATCTGGCCAAAAGGATTCAGGAACAGGCCAATGACCTATAGGAACCCCAGTTTTAGGGTTTGGCCTGACATAGATAAGTTTGTGACAGCTGTGCCAAGGCTGGGGTCCAAAGGGTCTGGATATCTCCACCTGCCCATCTACAGAAAAAAAAGGCTGTGTGTCAAAAGTGTTAAAACTTAAGACCAGTATTAAATAACTTTTGTAAAGAGTTAAAAACCTATAAGCCCAGGGAAGTCCTTCCTGTAGTTAATATTTCTAAGAATAGCAGATACTTGTCAGTAAGAATGTCTGCAAAAACACAAACTGAGAAACCAAATAAGCATTCAATGTTTAGAGGATGAACACCCCAAAAGGCAATTATCTGGAGCCCTTCATAAAAATGTTTCCTTTTCCTCCATTGTCATTAACAGATAACCTTCAAATCCAAGCATTAAAGAAATGATACACGTGACTAATACTGCTAGACTCTTTACTGCAGCAAAATAAAACTTAAATCTCACAAACTTCTCAGTAACATTCAAAGAGGGACCTACCTAAGCCATTTACAATGAGAAATTAATGCCACACAGGTGTATTTGCTATTTTAACTCTTAACACAGCCATTTTACTACACTGAAGAAAAAAGGATAAGCCCAGGTCTTTTGATATCATGTTATTTACATTTGTAGCTGGTTGAAAACTGCTTAAAACCCATAAATCCCTTTAACTGTGCCTGACATGAACAAACATATTTAAGACTTCCTGAGTGGTTTGACCAAATGCAGAGATGTCTGGCAACTACAGCCAGTATTTTGAGACAATTTACAAAGAGTTTCAGAATTAACAGGTAGGTCCTCTCTGTAGTTCAGGCTTTCAAATTGCAATAGCTTCCCTTTTGACTTGACAACTACTATATTAAGTTCATGAAGTTACATTGACAACAGTCACCCCTGTTATTTGACAGCACAGTGTAAAAAATTTCAAGTACCATCAATTGGTGAGGGATCTGGACCAGCTTTTTCAAAATTTATTACCACTCCACTTTGTACTTTTTGCACCAATGACTCAAGACATTGATTCAGCATTCTTGGAGAGCACACACAATATGATCGACCTAGAACAAAACAGTCAGGGTTAAAACTCATCAGTGTTTCTGCCCTTATTTTAACTTGGAACATTGAAAACTGTTCAACCACCACACACAGCTGATTTATGTATGGATCACTGATTCAAAACTTCTCCTGAACACTCCCTCTTTGTTTAAGCAGCAAAGCATCCTAGTGAAGCACTGATAAGTGCCTCATCAGAAATGTTTGTATTTTAGACCCCTAATGACTAACTCCAATTCTTGGTTGAATTCATGGAAAATGGGCTCCCCCTTGTGACAGACATCAACACTTAAAATGGTCCACAAATTTCAGTCAAAGCATTTACCAGTACAGCCTACCTACAGTCAAAAAGCAGTGGAATCAAATCCTTTTAGAATACTTTTCAAAGCCCTTTGTTTCTTCTCTATCACATTCCCTCTGATGCATCAGAAGAATCATCACATTTTTAAAATGTAATAAACTCAGTGCCTGAGTTAGATCTGGAATATGATTTCTACAATATTATCAATATGAGCTAAAACTGAGACAAGTATCAATTCTGCAGAATTATTATGCATTCTGAAAGGCATTCTGCATGCTCTGGAGGCAAACACATGAAACAACTCACTTTCTTCACTTTGGCTTTTTTAGACCGGAGTATGACAGGAATTTACCAGAACTGTACTGCAGAACAGATAAAATTATTACAATTTCTAATTGCAATATCAAGATGTAGTAGGAAAAAGTTCTCTTACAAAACATTTCCAAAGAATGTATATTCACTCTTCCAAGACATGCTACATTTAATTGTCTGTATAGTTTTAATGCTGTATGCGTCTTCAGTTTCATTGTAACAGTCTTGAGAGTTTTTACGAGTACTGTAAGAACTTCAAAATCCTTGTTCCATGACATAGAATGACACAATTAATTGAATTAAACTGAATTAATTTACACTTCAGAAAGTAATGACTTGTCAAAGGAAACAAAAGCACTCACCTCCTGTGACTTCACACATCGGTGTGATAGCAGAGTCATCCACAGGTACCCCTGTCATCTGCTCCGATTCTGGTGCTGTAATACCAGGCAAACGAAGAACCAAAGCAAATAACCTCTGATCCCATCGAAAGGGTTCCTTAGTCAACTCACTTCCAGGCAGAGGGGAATTGAGAGGTAAATGGAGCTGGAAAGGAATTTAAATCTGTGAATACGCAGCTTATAAAAGAAACAAAAATCCCGGTTACATAGCAATGGCAATTCACTCTATATAAGCACACTTCTCTCTCCACACACAATACCTCATTAATAAAACAAGACAAGCTTCTACAGGATAGCACAAGGCATTCAGAAGATCCTAGATGCTCTTTTTGCATCCGGATACTTCACACAGGTAAGTGGGAAAAAGAAAGCTTATCCAAATATTCAACTACAGAAGCCCTGAACAGACAGATTTGCAACAAGCAATTGCAAGTTTCAGAAAATTTGATACATCCCTGGCTGATGATAGCCCTGTCAGCAAAAGCAAAACTCTCATTTCACCTGGAGCACTGCAGAAACGAAAGGGGGAAAAAAATCCCCAAAGCAATGACTCAAGTAGCACAAACAGTCCTATTAGCACACCAAATACAAGGGGGTTAAGCCCACATGCTGAAGCAAACTCAGCATGTCCTCATTTTCTCTCATGCAGTGTCCAAAAACATCCCAATTCTTAACCCTCAACTCAATACTAGCAAGAAAGTACTAGTCTGTTCCAAAACTTGATGCAAATCCACACAGGCGCTCATTATATATTGCCTTAATTTCTAGCCCATAGTGGTCAGAGAATTTACAGAAAGCTGTTAAAGATTAGTTTGCTTATTTTTAAGAGATAGCTCAAAAGCATTAAAACCTGATTTCCAAAACCAGATACCGCAGCTATTTCTATTTACATAATTGCAGCATCTCATACTGGGAAAAATACATGTTTGAAAAGCAATCAATTTATTGATACAATCTTGAAGCTACTAACAAACATGACAAAACTACTCATGAAATGTGGCCAAGGATCAGAATATTTTGCACTTTCACACCTGATGATTCCTCCAGAATTCCTCTTTTTGCTTATTCAAGCACAGAGTACATGAAAGACCAGAACTATTTTCTCCAAATGTTTCATGTTTTACACAAAACTAGTCAAAGGGAGCTCAGCTGGTTTATAACTGCTTGACATGAATGTCTTTCCCATCCACAGAAAGAACCACAAAGACTGCCTGACAATGGAAACTCAGTTAAAAGAATAGCCACATTCTTAGTTAACAGCCTGGAATCCTGACTGCAAGAAGACTGAATTGCAAGCACTCCACCATCCTCACTTGGGCCTATTAAGGAATGCCATTCAAGCTTTCCTACTTAGATCTGACTGAAGATATACTATCTCTAAAGAGTACATTTGATCTGCAAAACACACCTATGTAACAGCATTGTTTTCCTTTGAGCAGCATATATACGTATTTTTTACTATGTATATTTATGTACATATAAATATATAAATATATATAAATATTCTGGATTCTGCACTAACAGTATCCTGAGTTCAGTTTACCCCAAGCTATAACATATTTCATTGGCTCAGCTGGTTATATGGAGAGAAGCCCAATACTAAAGAGTAGTCAGAAGCTGGCCCTTGTGTTATGCACATATTACTATCAGAAAAGTTTTCAGACTAAGACAAAATGCAAAGCAATTGTCATGAAGTCAAACGTCTTCACCTTCCCTCCTACGATTTAATTCCAGTTATATTTAACATCCTCTAACATTTATACAGGTGAAGTTATAGATTCAAACCACCTCATTCACAGACATTAGTAACTTGGTCTTGTCACCTTCAGTTGCCTTCTTTAAGCTGGTATTGTATTTCCATAGCAACTGCATACATAGCAGAAACTAAGATGAGCCTAGAATTCTACATCTTACATTTCATTTCTTTCCCCACGCATATTTTAAGATGAAGGCATGCACACATTTCCCTCTTTCTCAACAGCCAGTATGAAAGATAAAGGTAGAATGAACTATTTAAGGGAAGGTTATTTACCAGCTGTGGTCTTCAACATGTGACTGTACACAGACAACACATGTCCTCCCAGCTTAGTACTAGAAACCAGCTGTTTAGTCTCATCACTTCTTTGTAGGAGCACACAGAAGCCCTACCATTCCCAAATGCTACAATGATAATGCTACTACACAATCAGTATGCACCTTATGCCATTCTTCCTGCCTTTAAAACAACTAAAATATTCCAGAACTACAAGGGGGTGGAAGATAAGAGGGTTCTAGAAGATCTCTTAAGTACAAGGCTACTGGTGAACAGCTTTATTTATTCTCAGTACTTGTTTCTACCTACATTTATGCAATCATGAGAAGCAGCACAGTTTAAAATCTTGGTGTGGGGGGGAACAAAAAAGGGATCCTAGAGACTCTAGGATGAAAAAAAGCTAGATATAAGCTTTAGGATACACTGCACTGGTCAGGCAGTCTGAGAAAGACACTAGTGATCATCTGGCAATGGCTGCACATACAGGCTCATCCATTAGAAGGGACACCAATTAGGACTGCTTAAGCTTTAGTACCCAGATGAAAACAGGCAGCTCCACCTGGGGAAATCTCCCAAGAGGGTATTAGAAGACTAGGCACTAAACAAAAATATGCCTACAGTCAACTTCTCTTTTTGTACCAAAAAAAAAAAAAAAACTATTGGCAAGTAACCTTCCTTGCATGCTCCTCTGGTACCCAAAAAAAAGGATAAGACATCTCACATACAAAGCAAATGTAGCCTTTCATCCCTAAAGGACTAAGGACAGGTAACCATTCAAGCCCAGCTGAGAACAGTCAGCTCTTGACAGACTGCAAAACTCTACTTACAGTTATCAGTAATATTATGGTCTCCCATCTTTTGCCATCTAATCCTATGCAGTTATAACACATAGAAAGACACAAACTGTTCTTCCATGGGAGATAATTCAAGGAGATCCCAAAGACATCAGTCAACTGACACACCGTGTCAATGTCATGATATACTTGGCCATTCCAAAGCCAGCATTAGCCATCAACAAATACTCACTGACCTGATAGTTACACATCAAGAATTCACACATCAAGAGCTCTGGAGCTCAGTGACAAAGGCTGTGAACCCAAAAAATGCTGCTAACAGGAATAATGAGAAAGAACATACATTTAATGATACTTGCCACATATTTCTGCAGAATTTGTTTAGGAATCAGAAGCTTTAACTGGAGGAACTATGGTAAAAAAATATAGAGCATTTAGAGCTCCTGATTATTCTTGACAATAATCAGAACCAGCAGAACCTTGACTGTGACACTTGTCACAGTTGTTACAAGTGCAATGCAAGGTGATCAGTTCTAGGAAGGATCAATGTGACAATGCCAAACAGATGTGGTATGAAGTCTCACAAAAATCACAGATTCCTCCTGTAAGAGTCTCTCATAACTGGCAGATCAGAAGAATGGCAATATACAGAAACCAAGCAGCATTGCTCATGATTTTTGCTTGTATAATCACTTATCAGAATGCATCAATACACTAATAACTCCATTTCAGTCTTGCAGACAAGTTTAATGCTACTTAGAGGGTATGTAGAGGGAAGACAAGGTAACATAGCTCAGCAGTTGTAAAACTCGAAAAGCATGTTATTTTTTAATATGAAGAGGAATAAGAAACCCCTTCAAGCATTTAAACATTTGCTTAATGAAAGATGAATAAAGGGCTAAGACTGAATTTGGGGGATCAGACCAGAAGCAAAAGCCACTCCATAATGAATCCATAACATGAGACCAAATAATTAATGACAGTTTACAAACAGTATGAGCCCATCCCCTCCAAGTTCTGACTGGAACTAGTGAGTCCAGGAAAGAGTCTGGTCAACAAGCCATGCAGAACATAGAATTGATGCTGGCACTTCTCAGTGCATTGGCACTGATGCATTAAAAAGCAGCGCTAGAAGGGACAGAACTCAAAGTCTTACTGACTTGGACAGGTGGAAAAAATATAGACAATATAATTTCTGTTTTCAGTGTGAGTAACCACACCCATGAGAGACAAAGTAGCAGTCACTGAAGGGTAAGGCTTCATCTGCAACACCCATTTTAAAATCCACAAAGGAACAGGACATCTGAAGAACTCAGCAAGAGATCTGGAACAGGGTTTAAGCTTAACTGCTTCACACTAAGACAAATGACAGTGTTCCCATTGTGATAAACTGATTTCATTGGTAAGAATGCGAATGTTCATCTGAATGACAAAGCTTTGAGAAAACTTGCCTCCAGGTTCCACACTGGCTTCACAGGTTTTCCAAAAAAATCTGAACAAAACACCAAAGCCCAACATAGTTGGTTCTCTTGCACATCTGTCTTAAAAGAACTAAAAATACACTGCCTCAGTCAATGCTAAGAAGTAAAAACATTGTTGTCATAGCCAGTGGGATATGATCACTTCCAACACCAACGCTGAAAAGCCTTCCCAAAGACAAACCCAAAGAACAGAAGAGACATTTGAAAGTGACTGAAAAAGCTTTGTTAGTGAACCGAAAAGGAGCAATGAACTTCCGTATCTCCAGGGTGGTGTTCCTGTACTAATTCTAGTTCATTTCTGCCTGTCCAACTTGAGAGGTAACTGTAAAAGACACTCAAGGTAGACTAAGAAAAATTCTGTTTAATAGGACACACACTGACAATAGCAAAAGAATATCCCTGAAAGACAGTAGTACCCTTCAGTGCTCTGTTCCTCTTCTTTGATAGTGTTAAGAATGTTCTTACCAGTACATCTATAGCACAAAAAAGGAAAAAAAAAAGTCACATCCTTTGCTGGGTATGAAACATATACCCAGTACACACATATAGAAAAGCATTCAAACTTGCATTTTGTCTTGCAAGAAGAACAGCTGTCACTTTGTCTTCTGGAGGAATGGAACATCTTTACGTTGGCTTATTTGTAACAAAAAAGCCCCACATAAATTCACTATTATTAGAGCAAATTCTGCATTTTGAAAATACAGTTTAATAATCATACAATTGTAACACTGGGCCCTATTTGACAAGATCATGACACAAACTCTTGGTGTAGCACACACTTATCAGTCAGCATTGCTCATGAGCCAAGTTGAAATTTAGTTGATTAATGCAGTCACCAGAAAACCCTTTTTCTCAGCCTAAGTTACAACAGTTTAGAGATGTGAATGTATGACCAAATGGTTGCCTGACTCTAGAAAAATGTCTTCTTGTGAAGACTAAGATAAAGAAGTTGTATCAGCATTAAAAGGAAAAGGAAAAAAAAAACCTGCTTTTTTTGGCTGGCTATAAAAGTCCTGATTCTTGTAAAAGAAAGACCTTAACTACTAATGCAGCTTTCTTACCTAAATCATTTTGAGTAGCAAAAAGGAAAGGAAACGTAACATAGAAGCATCCCACTGCGTACACTAGAAGGAACACGACAGGTATACAGTCCAGAGGCTTTTGATTGCTCAGGGCGTCGTCCAGTGCAGCTTTTACTATCACCACAACCACTGGACAACACATCCAGATCTCTTGATCACCCACGCAGTTAAAGATTTTCTTGTTATGCAATCAGAATTTCCCATGAGACATCTTGCAGCTGTTGCCTCTTATCTCAGCTCTGGGTACCTCCTGGAAAAGACAAGCTCCCTGTCCCATTCAGCCTTTGCAGAAGTTGGTAAAGCACTCCCCACTCTCCTGAAGACAAACAAACTCGGTTCTCAGCCTCTACCCAGAGGTCATTACATTCACCCTCTGAGCACCTGGGTGTTCCTCAGTCCAGTATGTCAGTGCCAGATTTTACAAGTCATCTGACAATAGAGATTCTTCTACTCAAAGAAGGAATTGCACAGCTAAGAGATTACCCAACAGTGTTCTGCTGCTAACAGCACTGCATTTGCAGAAGACTCCAGAAGTGTCACACTACTCTCTTATACTCAGTATTTTGGACTGCACACAATCACAGAATTAATCTGAAAATAGCTTATTGCGTAAAAAACGAAAGTATTATGGAAGTGAGGTTTCATACAGATAACCTACTTGTTACCATGGATCCAGGAATTCCCTTTCAGTTACTAGCTATGCTTGTTAGGAGTCTACACAGAATTATGCGATCATTCAACTCTCTTCAAGTCAGATATATTACAAAAACCACTCAAATACCACTTCTCATACAGACAAATTCTCTAAGTGCTGTAAGAATGCAATATAATACATTATTAGGAGAAATCTGAGTAACTAATGAACAGCAAAGTGCAACAAGTTAATCTGTTCTGTACAGTCAAATGTGGTGCAGCACAGTCAAAAGTCTGAATTCTCCTCTTAGGTTTTAAAATGGACCTTTGGATATTAACCTGTTCCCTGAAAAGGGAATGAGCTTAGGGATTTGCTGTAGTTTCTTTTGGTTGGTTTTTTTTTACTACTGTATGGAATGAGAACTGAGCTGGCTAGACCAATCCTACCCCTTGCAACCACTTCCATCTTTTTAAGAAAAAAATTCAAAATGGCCAGTAAGTTAAAATAGTTCAGTACCTGAGCATCTGCTATACCTTGGAGTTTATCAGATGTCTGAGTAGGTACTCTAGTATATTAAGATCTTAATTTTAAACTGCTCTACAGATTAAACTTGGAATAAATTTCTTCAGTTCTTATCTTGAATTACAAAGACAACTGATTTCATTATAATCATTTTAAGAACTCAGTGTGAGAGTAGTACATGTATCACATACTCCCTAGTGGCCACATCCTTTGGGAAATCACTACATTAACTTGGGTCTGTGCAAAAAACTTATATCAAGACCAATTAAAGACACACAGTCTTTACAGAAATCAACTTCTTCTGCTAATGTATTTGAAAAGCCATGAACTCCCTAGACACAAAGAGCAAACTCAGTCTAAACTCAACAGACCAACAATTGTACCACAGGTTTCTGTTATGTGAAGCAAGGAAAAAGTTATTTGGTTTTTTTGTAGTGCTATCGCATGAAATTACTTGAAATTAAAAAAACACACAAGCAATTTTAAGCTATTAATGAGCATTCATCTGAGGAGCCACTTATGCTCCTTCTGTAAACAGTATCAATGTTTAAACAGTATTTAGTACACATCACTGTAACCAGAGGTTAGATCTTACCTCTTCCTGTATCCCACTGGTAGTAGTTAATTTACTTCCATCAGTAACTGTTATAATTATTGCTGGCTCCAGAAAAAAAGGGTTGCGTCCCTAAGGGGAAAAAAAAAATTTACTTAAAATGATGTAACAAACTCTGTTCAGACATTAAATAGCCATTGATATCCACTAACAAAACAACAAAGCTTGAGGTATTTATTCTCATGTACCACATAGTAGAGCACAATGGGTTTCTGAGCCTTTTTACAGCCAGACCATGGAAAGCTAGACACTTAACATGTCTGTATTCAATAAACACATACACAAACAGCAAAAATTGTTAACACATGACTTCAAGAATAACGCTTGCTGAAGTATTCTGACAAACTAGCAGCCGTTTAGAGACAACCATCTCCTTAAAAGGTACTTCCAATTGCCCCTATTCCAGGGCCGATTTTGTGATTTAATTGCTGTGTGTCCAAGTATTTGCACAGTATCTTGTGATCATGACCCCTGGGTTAAGAACTAATACTCTATGTATTAAGACTGATATAAATATCACCTGTTCCATTCTGATCAAAGATGAACACACATGCAAAAATCTACTTCAACAAATACTTGAAAAATAAATAAACTTTCTATATGTATCATTTAAGACAGAAGCATATACAAGGCAAGATATTCTAGGATCCCAGCAAGACAGGCAGCTAAGCTAGCTGTAGCAAAAACTTGAAATCAGTTATTGGTATTTTTTTATCTACTGTCAATATTCTAGGAGCTTTCTGTGCCTTCTGGAAAAGAATTTTGAAGTATTCCACAGACATGTCAACTCCAAGCTTAGGTAACACATTTCACTCTACCTAGAGTTAATAACAGACAGAATAAAAGTCACTACAAGATTGTGTTTAGTAGGTCCTGTTCTTCTCTTGCTAACCTCGAGGCCTTGTTTTTCTTCCTCAGGAAACAAAGAAAAATGGAACTAAACCTTCAGCCTAGTTCTGCGTATACAGACAAGTTATTTCATGAATGCTTATGATTTACTCTAGAAGTATGGAGAGAGAACCAGTAGGTTTTAAAAGATCTTTTAAATCCATTTTTAGAACCCTCTAAATATAAAAGATCATCCATTGATTTTGTGCTTCAAACAGAACTATTATTTAACAACCTGAAATATAATTGGCGAAGTGTATCCAGTTTGACTACTGTGGCAGCACCATATTTATAGTGGTCAGTATTTTCCCAAAGCTTAGTGAAAAAAAATTAAAGATTTCTTTTCAAATGGCATACCATTACTACAAAAAATAAGCAAAAATCAAATTAAAACAAAGATCAATGCCTCCAATGAAATCCAAGCTACTTGATAATTTCAACAATTATTCAAAAGAATTTAAGGCTGCTCAAAACACTACATTTTAATTAAAATAATTTCCTAATAATATTTAGCCTCATTTATTTCTTAACTGTTATAGTATGTTTTTGTGCCAACTAATAGTTTACCACAACTGCAAAACATCAGCTGGAAGCTAATTACATTGCACTGAAATAACACAGAAAGCAGAGTTTGTAACTAGATATTTTTCTCAAGAATACTGATCATAAAAATACTTGAACACTATTGCTCATAAATTATTGCAAAAAGGAATTGACAACTGATAAAAATAACAGATTTAGAATGTCATAAGCAATACCAAGTTAATACTGCAGTGCAATTTCAAATAGAAGTATTAAAATTTTCATCTCGGACAACACCTACCTGACTGTCCTCATAATCTTTATAAACTTCTTTTATTCCTTCATTGTACTTGGTCTCTTTTTTTCCCCCATCTACAGTTTAAGCCTTAAACAGTTTTGTCTTAGAATGATTATGAAATTACATGGAAAGAATCGAGAGTTGCTACACTTGAGCTCCCTACAAAACATGTCTGAGGGTGAAATGTCTTCATCCTCAGTCTACTCTTTATAATTTCACAAGCATTTTAAATATACAAAGGATAGCATTAGCATACTAAGAATCAGCTTGTTTTCAGAAAGATAATTAAAATGTATCATGGAAGAACTTTGGTAAAAATGCTCATTACTGAGATCTATTATTGACTAAAAATTTCCATGTTGTTAATTTTTAAAGACCAGCACTGACTCTTCTGATCCTGCTCCTTACTCCTCCTATACAAAGGCATTCAAAACCAGTATTAAGTCAAATACTCCTCTAAGAAAACCCCCTCTTATTTATGTAAGCTCTCAGCAGTCAGACATCATAAAATTAAATTCCAGAAGACTTACCAATTCTTTTAACTAAACTACAGCACTTTTGTCAACAATCGGTTGAGAACTAGCTAATTACTCTAATTCTACAGTAATTACTTTCTATTTCTCATCCCCTAGAAATACACTTTAAAAAAAACCAAACACCTAGCATTTACACATCTTGGAAATATTCTTCAAAAAGCATAGGTAATTAATTCAATCCAGCCCAATTATTTTGGATATGCAGAGGAACAGTGCGTGACAGTGTACACTACTACCAGCTCTTTGGCAGCTTACAGGTATGCTGCAATGCACTGGGGGAAGCATCTCAGGATAACAAGGTATAAATAATAAGCCTGTTTACAACTTACTCTGAGAAATAGGAAACCAGCATGAGGTTGTATTTATTTCAGAAGCAAATTCTTTTCAATACACTGCTTTTCCTTCTGGAAGTTTGTAGCAGTGGTGAAAAATGGAAGAGGCACCTATGGTTTTAATGGCTGACCACCCTGTAACAAGGTACAAGGAAGATTTTTTCATTCACCTACAATCTGCATTTTAAAGGACAGATGTGCACCAAGGCAACAAAAAAACCCCACAGACCTTTTTTGGAAACCAGGTTACTTAGAACTCAGCATCAATACCAGAGAAAGTTTGCTTGGCTAAAAAGGAACAAGAGATTCAAAGCCTTAAAACTAACTTATGTAATATAACGCTTCCATTTGAACAATTTGACAGCTTCACGACTGCTTCAAAACACAAAAGAACTTGGCTGCGTTGGCTGCCTTTTCCTTGGTCTCCAGCTGAAGCAGTTCCATGCTCAGATAACACAAATACAGAATACCACTGAGCTCCACACCACTCACAAGGGGTCACTCTAAGAGGCATCCCATGCCATCCCAGCTTGTGTGATGCTCTCAGGGGGAGCCTCACATCGACCCAGGCGTGTATCAAATTACTAAAACACATTATTGCCTGGTTAAGACTCTCACAACTAGGAAATCACTCCCACTGGTAAGTAAGCTTAACATCAAATTTCAGCATGACTAATTGATACACACATGATTTTTTTCCCAAGTGTACAGGTAAAGCAGTTCAAGAGCTATTGTGACCTTTACACATGCAAGTAGACAATATTATACATGCAGGAAGAGAAGATAAATTAACAACTACTGTTATCTCAAAGCACACATTTAAATATTAATTTCAGTGTCACAGGTGTTTCAGAACTGAAGAAGTGGGTGAGGTAGAAATGTGACCAAAATACACCAAATCAGAGACTAAAAATTACACAAGCAGCCACTACAACAAAAATAAGTTTTAGTAGTACAGAAACCTCATACCCATGAAAGGCTGGAAGCTGAAAAAAAGACATGAACTGAACTTCAGTGCATATTTTTTACCTATGACTAGGAACTGGAAAAAAAGCATTTTGAGATCACAACAAATGTCTAAAAGATACACTTATTTCAGTAAATCACAAAACTCTGCAAGCTGTATTGCACATCTATCTCCCATTGTATTATCTCAGCACAGCCTCTTCATTTTCAGAAGTATCAGCCTGAACTCTCACTAAATTTAGACATCTGACCAGGAAACACAAAATAGGAATATGAATTTTTGAATTCAGTCCTGTGTTTTTCATAATTTAGAAGGTCAAGAATCTCACAAATACTCATAAGAATCTGTGAGCAACCATTGCTCAAAAACAATAGCTTACAATGAAATCTAAAAGTCAGAATGACAAAATTTATTAGCTTTAAAGCTATTTTTAACTGATGAATAGCTTAAAAAAATATCAAAACACTGAATTTGAATTTCAAACTACAAGAGATGGTCCAAATATATCATGGTTTTCACTTGTTGTTTCTTAGAAACTTCAGTTACGCTTTAGCAAAACCATGAAATGTCTAAGACATTTCCATTTATTAGAGACTTTCCCCTACATTGCTCAAAGCAGAACACTACCAGTCAAGTACATAGAGGTATTTAACAACTGTTCTGATGATAAGTTACATAAGAACTGCAGCATCTTGTGCAATTTCTTACTAGTCCCATTCACATTTTCAGCAGCTTTGGCTATTTTCTACTATCCCCACAGAATTAATCAATGTAGTTGGCAAGTCCTATAGAACCAATTGTATTTTATGCTGTCACACAATTGTTTCCCAAGTCACAAACACAGCTGAATACACTGGCATCACTACAGTATTTTAGTCAATTTATACCTGTCAATTAAATGCTACAAAAATTACTTTGCCTTTAAGGAGCTTCAATCCTTATATAAGTTTCAATTATGTATGTAGACACACACCATAACCATGCATATACATGTAATACACTACAGTACTAGGGAATTAATATGCTTTCAATTTTGGTAGATCAATAAATTCTTTCCTATTACTTGATAGGAAGCAAAATGTCTTTAAATGGAAGTTTCCCCAGATGTAGCTACTCTATCACCTAATTAATATTTATCACAAACACACTCTGAAATGTTCATCTATCAGAACACAAGGAAGAATATGCTGGGGGTGAGGGAGTGCAAAAAAGGGCAATCCAATTCTACTACAACATTTCCTTTGATAAATCTGACTGCTCACAGGATATGCCACAAGAGCACCATAATTCCGTAGCCAGACTGAAAAACACAGTACCTCTAAATTCCATCACAGTATCATCTAAGTGACTGAACCTGCATGATAAAAATAACTTTGAAATTGTACTTATTTGCTACGTCTGTTTTAGAACAGAAATTGATTGCCTGAAGTGGAAGCACCTCAGTGTCAGAGAAACTTCTGTGCTTTCAGCCTGAATGAGTAAGAGCTGAAGAACATACAAATTCTGTACAAGCTTAAGGTCTGACAAGA